GCGTTTTCGCATGTTGCCTTCTATTTAGGTTGAGACTCCTATTGTATTCCAGTGAATGTCCCTTAGTGTGGATATATATATATACTTATGGACTAGATAGCTATTGTGAGATATCTAGGGTGTATCTGCGTATCGGGTCACTGTATGAATTGCAGTTAGATTAGAACTTGTTCGTGGGTCTGACTCACTTTTTTATTCTTTTCAGGTACAGGACGGTTCTAGCCTTAAAGATTGATCATGCTTGTCAAGGATAGTCTCTTATTCATCTGCTTACGTAGGACTTCTCCCGATGTTCTAGTTTAGTTTTATTTTCAGTTATTCAGTTCAGTGGGGATTTTATTTAGGGGTCCACGAGATGGATTCCCAAGTTGTACTTTTGGAGGTTTTGGAGAATTGGAGTTTTATTTGGAGGAGTTTATGTTTCTTAATTCTTTCAGCTTTGTAATATAAATTCTTAAATCTTTATATTCTATGTTTTAATTGTTTGATATTTCCCTTGGGTTTAGGCTTGGACCTTATCAACCCGTGTCTCGGATCCGAGGGTTATCACACTCTTTCTGTTTCTGAAAGGCAATGTTATTATTTTCCTCTATCGCCATAGCACATTCCACCATTTTAGTATATGTGTCATAACGATGACCTACCACAAACTTTTTCACATAAGAGATCAACCCTCGCTCAAACTTCCTTTCGTACTCACTGACTAACATATCATTATTCTGTTCCAGCTGCATGAACTCAGTTGCTTTCTTCCCCCTCACTGATAGTGGAAAGTATTTGTCGTTGAACCGAGTTTTAAAATCATCCCAGGTCATAGCTGTAATGTCCACAACCATCCTAGTCTCTGACTACCATTACTGGCGCCTCACCAGATAAAAGAAAAGCACCAATCTTCTTTTTCTACACCTCAGTGCAGTCCATCATCTCAAAATATTTTTCTATATTTTCAATCCACTTCTCGGCATCAAATGGATCGGTAAGTCTGACGAATTCAACAGCCCCCAATTTGCGTATATCTCTGATAAATCCAATCATAGGATTCGGCACATGAGGTGTATCCTCCAACTGAACATTGTCATGGTCTACACCACCACGACCGGCACCTCCTTGACCTGTGCCTCTAGCAGGTCGGCCTCTTCCTCTTTCAGCTCCTGACATCCTATTTTCAGTAAAGAATGTCAATGATAAGTCTCACAAGTAATTTATATTTTAAACTGAAGCATGGTAAGAGAGCAGATAATTTGTATAACTATATACTCCTATTCTTACTATCACTTCTCTTAGCCAAGTAATTCTTAACCTAGGCTCTGATATCAATAAATTGTTGTTGTAAGTTGTTTTTGCTTACAATGATATAATTAATTATATATATATATATATATATAATTAATTATATCATTGTAAGCGAAAACAACTTCCAATCGGCCACTGTTTATCACTATTCCAATCTCGGTCCCATTGTTCAACTATATTAACATAGGATTTATATAGAGGTTCATTCAATTAATTAATATACAAGAATTTTCCAAAGCACGTATAAAAGTTAATGTTGTCTAAAATCTTCATTTTTAAACCAACACAAGACCCAAGCTATTCTGGACTCCAACATAGATTACTAGTTCACTAAAACTGATCTTAATTTGTATCAACAAATGAATCCACATTATACTTATACAAATTTAAAAATATATATGCACACACACATGAACATATAAAAATCAATTTATCTACCAAAGCTCAGAATATACTTAACAAGCCATAACTATGTAACCATTTCAATGACACGATAATTATACATCCATACGCATATCACTTCTATATATATATATAAACGAAAAATGTAAAACTATATTCAACAAGTGCTTAATATTAACAAGATGATCTGTATACTATAGAACACAGAAATCAGAATTTAATATTAAAATTTTAATAAGCAAGTCAGTTGTATATATAAAATTATAAGGCAAGATTAACTTGCCTAAAATAACGTTACTCCTTCTTCACATATGTGACCTTTAGTCACCTCTCCTTCCAGCCACTGCAGAAGGTTGACTATGCTTTAGTAATCAGTACCCAGGAATTAGCGTGGTAAGAGTTTAAGGTAGGTTTTGAGAAAGATGTTGTTTTTCTTTTCGTTTCCTCACCTAATACAATACAAACTCTATAGTATAGATATTATCCTTAGAGTTTTAAGTCAAATAAAACTCTTTTAAAATTCAAAATAATAGGATAACACAACTATAAACTGTTTCTAAAACATATATATCTTATTTATTATTATTATTATTTTTAAAGATATTACAATAGTAGAGATCACTTACAATAGTAAATTAGAGATCACTTATGAAAAAAAAAAGAAAAAGAAAAGCAAATTAGTGATAGAGAGAAAAATCTAGTGTAATTAATTTGTCTTTTTATTTTTTACATAAATTAATGGATAAAAGAATAAAATGTAATATGTATTAAAATAGAGGATTTTAATATCTTTTTAATTATTGCACATAAGATTCAAGATTATGTCTCTAATTAAAAGTTATGAAGTATTTAATTTGAGATGTGTAGCGTTTTTGATACTTGAATTCAACAATTTTGTACTATTGTCATTGCCAAAATCCTTTGTGGCCGTGGCGGTTTAATGTAACACAGTATATAGTCTAAGATGACGAAACTTGTATTCCTTCCGTCCCAAAATAGTTGTCCATCTTTCTATTTTGGGATGTCTCAAAAAATATATCCTATTTCAAAATTGAATGTACTATTTTTATAACATTCCCAAATTATTCTTTTAACTAAACAAATGCACTAATTACGGAGCACTATTTTGTCTTTTAGAAAGGGCATATTTGAAACTTTACTCTCATCAATGCAATAAAAAACTATTAAAACTCCACTACCATAAAAACTTGGATTCCCCATGCAGGACATGTATTGTGGGACGGAGGGAGCATCTAATAATAATTATACTGACGTTCTCAGTTTATGTATGCTAAGGATGTAGCGGTGGTAGGTTCTTGAGATTTATAAGGGTTTGTGTGAAGTGGTGTTCATGTGCTCAGAGGCGGCTCAATGTAATTTGAGGCTTTAAGCAAAAAAATATAAAAGTGGCCTTTTAATTAAGACAATTTTTTTTTTTCCTAGTTTCAATTTCTTCCAAATTTTTTTGTTATTCATAAAGATTTTCTTATCACAAATCTGATTATTATGTTTTGTCTTCTTCTTAAAATTTTCGGATAGACATAATCAACCATATAAATAAAAATGTTCACAACTCACAAACAAACTATACAATTTTTTGATAATTTTTTTTCAATAAAATTACAAAATAATTTAAGTTAAAGAATAATGGAAGCTGACTTAGAAAAATTCTAAAAGCGTGTTTAAAATCTTATAATGAAATTGTAAATTGTTAATGAGAGTAGATAAGAGAAAAAAGTTGTAAATAGAGAACATGACACCATATTGATATATAAGGAAAAATAAGTGAGGAATAAGGGAAACAAAAAGTGAGGAATAATGGGAAAAAAATAAAAAAGTTAAATCGGAGAATATGGACCATTCTCCCAACTTACTGTTAAATATATATTGAATAATTACAATGGTGTCATGATAGGACCATACCAATGATAATCGCATAGGACCATACCCGTGGATATTTAATACTTTCTAAAACAAAAATTTGAGAAAAGATTAAAAAAATTTTGATCCCACTATTAATCATTTTAATGCTTAGGGCCTAATTATAGAAAGTGTTAAAAATTTAAGGTTGCTAATAAAAAATTTGGGAATAGAAAATTTTGAGGCCACTATTAAATCTTTTTATCACTTGGGGCCTAATTATAAAAAAAAAAATTAAAATTTAAGAATATAATGTAAAAAATAAATAATTTAAAGTGTTCTTTTTGATTGGGAGCCTTAAGCAACTGTCAAAGTCGCCTAGACTCCGATGGGCCCCGCATGTGCTGTTAACAAGGCAATGCAATTTTCACGAGGCTAAAAGCTAGTCCAATGTGGGTAGGACATACTTTGTGTGAAATGCGAGAATGTACAATTATAATAGGGGGACGCATTTTATAAGAAAGAGACGACAACCGACCATGTCCATATTATACCCGTGAGTTGGTAATCATCAATGATCAACGCCAAACAAAGTTTATACAAAATCATGTGTGACGCGTGGCAAGCTATCCACCACGAGTTTCGACTTGGACCTTTTCACTTTTCACATAATTGAAAAAACTACGGTAATTAATTACTACTACTACTACTTAAAAAATAATAAAATATGATTAATTTGTGGTTATCACAGCATTTTTATTTATATTAAGTGAAATGAATGAAGATGATTGGCATGGAAGGAGGTGGCGGCTACACGTGGGATTACGTGGCGACAATTTAGTGGTTGGAGGAATCAAAGGGATGTGGTCTGAGTTGGATGGACGGTGGGTGGTGATCGAATTTTCTGGATAGTCGGTTCGTGTGTGATTTGACCTGTCGTAGCAGGTGGCACTACAACACCCGTTTCTATTTTTAATGTGAGACGTGACCAACATTTTTTTTTTTTTTTTAAATTATTGTTACTATTTTTTTTTTTTTTTTCATAATATGAAATTCTAATAAAAATATAAGAGATAGAGGCTCCCTCAAAATTGTTCTCTTGTTCTTTCAAATATATCGTGATTATAATGACTAGTACATAACAGTACTTTTTCATCCTAACAATAAGCTCTTTGGTTCTACTAATATATATATATTTTTTCCACCAATTCGGTTAAATGAGAAAATCATTAACATGGTAGTAGGTACTCAATAGGACAACGAAATGGAATAAAGCACGAGCTTATAATAAAAAAGTGGGGTGGTTCTGAATCACTGAAAATGAAAGATATCAAAATCAAAATCAAAATTAGTAGGACTGGGCGGCAATTCTAAGTCTAATAAATGGACTTATCGAGTGTGAGTGCAGCAGACCCACCAGTTCACCACCTCCATGTATTTATAACCCCTCACTTCTCATCTCCTCTACTCATCACAAACTCTCACCATCTCTCTCTCTCACACTAAAAACACACACACTAACATCCTCTGTCACTCTCTCTGAGAAAAGAAGAAAAAGGGCAATGGCCAAGGACATTGAGGTGGGCGGCGGGTTCGCATCGAAGGACTACCAAGATCCACCACCGGCTCCGCTTGTTGACGGCGAGGAACTGACCCAATGGTCCTTCTACAGGGCCATCATTGCCGAGTTCATTGCCACACTCTTGTTCCTCTACATTACTGTTCTGACTGTTATTGGGTACAAGAGCCAGACTGACCCAACCAAGACTACCGATCAGTGTGGCGGCGTTGGCATTCTCGGCATCGCTTGGGCTTTTGGTGGCATGATCTTCGTCCTTGTTTACTGCACTGCCGGCATCTCTGGCAAGTCTCCTCTTTTCCTCTATTCATAACTTAAATAATTTTTTTTTATGTGCAATAATTAAATTTTTTTTCACTATGCATGAACTTTTGAATCAGCTCTATTTAACATTCGTCACAATTCATAATATCAGTCAAATCCCATGGTATCATATCAGTTTTATTAACTCTCCCGATTAAGTAAATAAATTTTTATATAAAAATTGAAATTCAAGTGAAAGTGGAAAAACAAATTAAGGACAATCTAAAACCAAAAGCAGGACAGTAAATATATGTGATCTGACATGTTGGTGTTGATAAAATGTGCAGGTGGTCATATTAACCCTGCGGTGACATTCGGGCTGTTCTTGGCACGAAAGGTGTCATTGGTCCGAGCCGTGATGTACATGGTGGCTCAGTGTTTGGGGGCCATATGTGGTTGTGGGTTGGTGAAGGCGTTCCAGAAGACTTACTATGTTGGATACGGTGGTGGAGCCAACGAACTCGCTGATGGGTACAGCACTGGCACTGGTCTGGGAGCTGAGATCATCGGCACCTTCGTCCTTGTTTACACCGTCTTCTCTGCCACCGATCCTAAGAGGAATGCACGAGATTCCCATGTTCCTGTAAGTGTTTTCGATTTAGTTTATAAGTTCTATCAGAAAGAGAATATGAAAGATAAAACTGACATAAATTCTCAGTATTATATGATTATGTATATAATAACTGCATTTTTTTTTTGGTATCTGCTACTTGATGATTAATGAAAATGACTAGACTAAAAACAGGTCTAATTTTTGGGTTTAGAGTGGTTTCCTGTGTATACTATAGTTCAATTTCTTATTATTTCATGAAGTAATGATCTCTGTATCTGAAGTCTAAAGCTCTGTATTTGAACTCAAGGTCCTAGCACCACTTCCTATCGGATTCGCGGTGTTCATGGTTCATTTGGCCACCATCCCAGTCACCGGCACCGGTATCAACCCAGCTCGAAGCTTTGGAGCTGCTGTGATCTATGGACAGCAAAAAGCTTGGGATGATCAAGTATGTACCACCCCCTTCTACATCTATTTTCTTTCTTTCCTCTGTTTTCAAATTACTCTTCCCCTGTTTTAATCCAAGTGTCTCTTTTTTTAAGTTAATTTTAAATTAGGCTAAAGTTAGCTTTGGAATTTTAAAACAATGTATATCCATTTTTTTTTTTTAATTTTAAAAAAAAGGTAGGAATCCCGAGAAGGGACATTTACTTTGGCCTTAAATTTCATATAATTTTTTTATATGATAAAGTCCAGTATTGCTCATGCCAAATTTGCTTTGATGTCATTGTTTCAGTGGATCTTCTGGGTTGGACCATTCATCGGTGCTGCCATCGCCGCCTTCTACCACCAGTACATTTTGAGAGCAGGAGCAGTTAAAGCTCTGGGATCCTTCAGGAGCACTGCCTAATATATGCATTAATTAGTTGCTGTGGGAATGTTTGAGGATTGGAATAAATGTGTATGGTCAGACAATACTTTCGACCTTTAGAAAAAGTTGTATATAAAGTATTGGACCATTGGTCCATCAGGAGGCTGTGAATTGTGTGTGCATTATGGGCCTTGGCACTTGTTTTAAGTGTGTGCCAAAGAAGTTGTCTATGCTGTGTTTTCCTTTCCTTTCCTTTTCTTTTTCTCTTTCTTTTTCTTTTTCTTTTCCTTTTCCTTTCTATTCTCTCCTCTTGCTGTTTTAAGCAATTAATATAATATAGCAACTTTTATCTTACTCTGTCTCAATCAAACCCCATTAGCTCTGATTTCTACCCAGTTACATTATACCTTTACTATTTGATAAATGAGAGTGAGTTTAAATACTTCCATTAACATGAACTGCCTCAAAGGAGAGATGTTTTGTAGAGTTTTTGTTTTCAGAATTTAGGTAGGAAATCTGATTTTCCATGTTCACTTTTATTAATGGATAGGTTCTTACATGTTCAAAGAGCACAATAATTACTTGATATTAGGTAAAGTAAAAATGGTGAGGTAAGACCTTCCGTAATTTCTAATCACATAAAAAACAAAATCACATAAAGATTAGTTAAATGTGTCTAGAACCAGTCCTTTATCAAAACCTGGAATGTAACATTGTTGTGGTTTTGTATTATTTAATTAATTAGCTAAGCAAGCTTTATCTTTTCATTTGTTTGTAATCAGAATAATAAACCAGAGAAAGTTGTTACACCAATAGCAAATTGATGGATAAAGGAATATGCTTTGGCCGGCAATCTTGTCTTAATTATCTCATTAGACCATATACTTTGATTACTAACTTATAATTGATCTAGTCTGCCTTGTGTTATTCAAAACACTTGGCTCCATTTTTTGGTAAAATATTTTCTTTATTTGCACTTTTCGGTATTTGACAAAGGTTTAGATGGAGATTGAGGTAGAGTTCTTCGGGCGGGACGTATAAAAGATTTAGATGGATATTGAGGTAGAGTTCTTCGGGCGGGACGTATAAAATAACTTATCAAAAATTGATGGATAAATTATTTTTCTAAAATTTTAATATATTTTTCTTTCGTAAATATTTTACAACAACCAATTACCAAAAAATAAAAAAATATTTTACATCAAAACAAACGGAGCCTAAGGCTCTGCTCAATAAAATATATTTTTTAAAAATATTTTTCTTTTCCAGATAAAATACTTTTTTATTTTTACTTTTTCGGTATTTGCCAAAGGTTTACATCTAGATTAAGGTCGAATCAATTGGGGCGGGGCATGTAAAATAATTTGCTAAAAATTGATACATAAGTTATTTTTATTAAATTTTAATATTTTTTTTCTTTGTAAATATTTTATTAAAAATATATTAAAATTTAACAAAAATAATTTACTCATTAATTTTAGACAAGTTATTTTACACTTATTATGGACTCAATTTCAATCTCGATTTAAACTTTTGCCAAATATGAAAAAAATAAAAATAAAAAAATATTAAAAAAATTTACTGAGCCTAAACCTTATTTTCAATTCAACTTTGTGAATTTGGATACTGAAAATTTTCCTCTTCCCCTAAACTGATTCAATTTCTGATCTTTGAAGCAGAATCTGATTAATGAAAAAAATGAATAATCTGATTTGTGGTAAGTCAAACTTATGTATCAACACAGTTAAATTTTGAGTCATATAAGTTATATAACATGTTAATCGATACTCTCCAATAACTTTGGGATTTCCGAATAATAAAGGTATAAAATCAATAAAATTGGATGAGCTTCCAACAATTTTTGTAATGGGATGGGGCGGCAATTATATAAGTCTAACTAATAATCTCTCACTCCTTCACTCTTCTTCCCATTACAAACTCATTCTCTCCCGTCTCTCTCTCACTCACACACAAGCAATATATCTATATCTATATCTATATATATATATATATATATATCGATTTTACCACGAAAAGTTTATGGACAACGACAATGAGGGGGCCGGCGAGTTGCCAATGAAGGACTACCAAGACCCACCACCGGCACCGTTCATTGACGCAGAGGAACTGACCAAGTGGTCGTTGTATAGGGCCGTCATTGCCGAGTTTGTGGCCACCCTCTTGTTCCTCTACATTACTGTTCTAACTATTATCGGCAACAATGCCAACGCCTCTCAATGTGGTGGCGTTGGCATTCTCGGCATCGCTTGGACTTTCGGTGGCATGATCTTTGTGCTCGTATACTGCACTGCCGGTATCTCTGGTAAGTCTCCTTCAATCCCAATTGCGAATTTAAAATTAGGAGTTCCAATTTTTTTAGTATATGATAAGTCAATGAGTAGTAGTCATCGTAATAGGAGGGACCTAGGAAATTGTGTACGAGTGGTGGTGGAATTTTTATTTTATTTTTAATTTCAGGGGAATAATATTAATTTTTTTTAGGTATGTCATTCAAAAAAGAAAAAAATCATTAATATAAGTACTTTAAAAAAATTTCTACGGGAAAATTTAACATGTTAGTGTCTAGTGTCTAATCATAATTTTTACTTTAATTTCATATGAATGAGTTCTCATTTCAAAAATTACTTTTAATAACATTGGTAGCGTCAGTCTCACTACATGAAGGAGGTGCTCTTAGTGTGACAAAGTGTAGTGAAAAACAATAAAGTGTTTGGAAATGGGTAAATCTGTGCAATGTGATTCCGAGTAGTTGGTTTGGATGGATATGTGCAGGAGGGCATATTAATCCGGCGGTGACATTCGGGATGCTCCTGGCTCGGAAGGTGTCAGTGGTCCGGGCAGTGATGTACATGGTGGCTCAGTGTTTGGGGGCCATATGTGGTTGTGCGTTGGTGAGGGCATTTCATGAGGCTAACTACGTCCGGTATGGTGGTGGAGCCAACGAAATGAGTTATGGTTACACCACAGGCACTGGTTTGGCAGCTGAGATCGTAGGCACATTCATCCTAGTTTACACAGTCTTCTCTGCCACTGACCCTAAGAGGAGTGCACGAGATTCCCATGTTCCTGTAAGTATCATTAACGATACAACATTTATAAATTAAAATATTTTATTTTATGCAACTCAACAACACACAACGTTGAGATGATGAGAGTAAATTTTAAATATGTATACTAGGTTCTGGCACCACTTCCAATTGGATTTGCTGTGTTCATGGTTCATTTGGCCACAATACCGATCACCGGCACAGGTATCAACCCAGCTCGAAGCTTCGGAGCTACTGTGATGGATGGCACCGAAAAAGCCTGGCATGATCAAGTATTATATTTATATATACCTCCCTTGTGCTGTAACAAAGTACTTTGACCTTGACATTTACTATATTTTTAGTTATAGTAATTAATTAAGGCCAACAGAGTTCATGTTTTTTTTGTTGTTGTTGTTGTTCAGTGGATTTTCTGGGTTGGACCATTTAAGGGCGCGGCCATCGCGGCATTCTATCACGAGTACGTTTTGAGAGCAGCAGCACTTAAAGCTATGAGATCCTTTCGGAGCAGTGGGAGGACTACAAATTAATGTGTATGAAGGAGGGGTTTCACCATTGTGGGTTTTGGCACTTGTTTTTGTTTCACTATATTTTGTTTTATTTATTTATAATTTACTCGCTAATTTGTTGTCCCTCTTGGATTTTTAAGTATTAATATACTGTATCAATCCTCTAGCTGAGATGTTTCATTGTCATGGTTTTGTTTAGAAGACACTGGACTAAATTTCTTTCAAAGGGCCAGGAGTCCACATCTTAGTTGACAACTGGGCTTTGAAAGTGGGCTTTTATCTAATCTGTGGAAGATGATCCTTTATTGGACAATTGGCAGGTCCCCATATGTAGTGGGGGCAAAAATCCCCAACCCGGTGGGCAACCGCTCCGCCCCCGCCCCTGTCCCGTTTAAAACGGGTTTGGAGAACTGTTTACTTAAATGGGGTGGGGATGGGGGTTTAAAAAAAAACCCCGGCCGGTTTCGGGGTGGGGGCGGGGTACTCAGGTCCCGCCCCGAATATGCCCCAAAACCGGCCCCAATTAATAAATGACAATATTTTATTATAATTTTATAAACACTATACTGCTTTCACTTTCAGACTTTCTATATTCCTAAAGATTTCTTTCAGACTTTCTATATTTTTAATATTTTTTTAAGACTTTCTATATTCCAAAGATTTCTTTCAGACTTTCTATATTCCTAATGATTTCAGATTCAGGATGTTTAGGCTTAGATTATGGCTACTGTTTTGCATAATTTTATTCCTCTTAATTAAGGCTATTGTTGGAAACTGTTATGGTTGTTTTTTGGCTATTTTTTTGGAATTTCTTTTTTCTTAGAAGAATGTTATTTTTGGTTGATTAATGATGATGTTGGATGATGTTACTTAAAATATCAAATTTATGTAGATCTGTTAGAGATTTTAAGATTTATGTAGTTTTGTTATAGAACTTCTGTAGAATAAAAAATTTGGAATTTTTAAAATTAATCAGTTATGGGGCGGGGGTGGGGCACGTGGGGATGGGGTGGGGACGATTATGGGGATTAGGGGTAAAAAAATAATCGGTTATGGAGCGGTTTTGAAGGTGCCAAATTTAAACGGGAATGGGGATGGAGAATGATAAACCCGTCCTAACCCGCCCCATTGCCATCCCTATCCATATGGGTATTTGGATTGCAGAACAATAACTGAATAATAACACACTGTTCAATTCAAACCAACTTCAATAAGGAAATTAATAAATAAATAAATAATATGAGTATTCTCATCAGTAATATAAATGGATAATATTGATTGTGTGACAAGACCAACTCAAATAATCATGCAAACTTATGCGAGTATGACTCAACTCGACACTGAAGACAATTGCTAATTGTAGTCACTTCCATGAAAATTACTATTAAAGAAAGAAATCCCTGCTACAGTATTTTCTTAAGAAAAAAAACAAAAACACTTTTCTTCTCGGGCATTGGAGAGAGAGTTTTGAGTGGATTTTTTTTTTTTTTTTTATGGCAATAAATACAAATATCACTCACCCATTCATTTTGAGATATAAAAAAAAAATATAATATAAAGGAAGTCTTTTTTTCACATCTAATTTGAATGATAAGTGAATGGGTATATATGAATTAGGTGTTGGTTTCACTTAATAACTTAATTATTTTTATCTAATTACAAAACACCTAATTCGTTATAGTTGGTATTAAAATTAGACAAGCAACGAGGCACTGATTAAGTATTTGTGCGGCTTGGGACTTGTTTTTGTTTCAATATGTTGTCTATGCTCTGCTTTTCTTTTCTTTTCTTTTCTTTTCTTTCCTTTCAATTCACTCTTCCACTGTTTATGGTGGCTATGGTGCTTTAAGCATGAATACAGTGCATCAGCTTTTTTTGTTAGTATGTCTCAATCAACTCCATTAGATCTAATTTGTAGTCAGATGGACTATGCCCTTTTCTATTTAGTAGACTATGAATGTGTTCTTGTCTTTCTTTTCCCTCTATGCATCAAAAGCTATCTTTCTTTTCGTATATTCCTATTTATAGTAGCTTTACTATTCCTATTTGGAAATTATATTGTTACATGAACTTCTTGAATCTTAATCCACCATCCACTTTACAGTTCACGAATCTCACCATTTCAATCTCATCTTGACTGATGTGTAAAGCCCGCAATTGAATGTGATAGTCCGACCAGTGCATAGTTGGGGTAATTGCCTCCCCTAGATATATATGTGTGTGTGTGTGTGATATATATATATATATATGTACATATATATATTACTATTAGTGATTTTTTCATTTTTGAATTATATACTTATAAAATTTTCACACACTCCTCTGTGAAAAAAAAAAAAAATTTACTAATGCTCCTAACAAAAAATCTTGAGTCGTGTTGGTATAATATAATATTAAAAAGGTCAATATTTGACACAATGTTTTGTTAGTTTTCTATCTACAAAATAAATTATGCCTAGCCTATACTATCCTCTAAGATATGCCAGATTATATGACTTGAAAAGTTGGATTATTTGACTTTATTTATTTAATTATTTTAGGGGGAGGTGGGCAAGTAATTATTTGATGTTTCCTAGTTATCTAATTTTGTCGTGGATTGATGTTCAATCAATCAATAAATCTGTGTCCCAAATTGTCCCCCACTAAAAATCACTAGGCCCATTCATTCATAAGCAGTTGGATCAAATGCTAAGCTCAAAATCATTTGGCGTGTAGTCTACGTGATACATGACTCTTAAGAGAATAATTTTGAATCAAAACACTATATAAACCTAGCACACACTCAATTTGGGTCTATATAAAGTTAGCTTGTAGGAGATAAAATATATTAATCAATTCACTAAGACGACTTTCAAAGTGATGTGAAAGTTTTGGTACACAGCACCTCTATCCTCTAAACGTTTGACCGCCCCCACATTTCATACTTTTTTATTGGATCCAAATTTAAATAAAGTTATTACATATACCATGAACTTTTTGAAGTATTATTTACTGAATTGAAATCGTGATCTTTTTAATTAAATGAATTTGATCAAAAGGTCGATGGGCATGAAAAAAACTATTCTTTGGTCTAAAATATTTTTATTATTTATAAGTATCACTCTTGCATATGGAAGTATTATTATTATGTATAAAATGTATCACTTTTTGTACACATAAATATCTTTTTTTTTTGCAGATCGTTTTGTTGACTTGGTCAGCACAACAAATGGTACCTACATACATAAGAGTGGTGCTTCTGTGCACATTAAATAGTACTTATATGTACAAAAAGTGATACCTAAAAGACATTAAGACTTTGACTCCATGAAATAATAAATAACACTCCAAAAGTCCATGTATATGTAATTATTCCTCAAATAAATTCAAGACAAATTTAAGTCCAAAAATAAATAAATAATAAACGATTATATACCAGAGTTTACTAACTTTAAATTAGAATAAAAATAGATATTAAAAAGAGAGAAATATAAGAATAACAAATTATTGAAATATATGTGAGCAATCGATAGCGATGAGTATGGGGCATGGGAGTTTTTAAGTTTATCTAAGTCACATATAGTAAGAGCGGAAGCGAAGACGAATTTGAAAGCGAGAGCGTGAGAACGACAGAATTAAGTTATAAACAGGGAGAATTTGAGCGAGAACTTGTGCGGAGCGTGAGAGTGACACCTATTGACAAGAATTATGTGACTTAGAAATTTATTATCAAATTATCACATTTAATCTTATTAAAATGTCCTTGATATTTTCTTTATCAATGAATGTAATCTAGTACCATTTTTTCTATCTTTCAAAATAAATTAAGAATGTTTAAGTCATTGTAAAAATAAATGAGTGCACGAGTTTATTACTATTTTTTGTGCACACAAGTACATCTTTTTGTGCATATTATTTTGATGACTTAAACTAGATAACAAATGGTACCTGTATGCATAAGAGTGGTGTTTTTCTGTGCACACGAATAGTACTTATATGTACAAAAGTAATTCTTAAAAATAGTATGGATAGTTTGATCAAATGAATAGTTTTTGTACGTCCACTTTGGCATTTTTGATCAAATTTATTTTTGGGTAAAAAAAAAAAAAAAAAAAAATCCTGAATTATGAGCCTTTTACAAATAACCCCTTGCAGTACAAAAAAATATCTCTTGAAATGTCAATTTGTAGTGATTAAGGACAACAGTGTCTTCTCCATACAACTACCCTCACCGACTTTGTTAAAAGTCATTTATATCATTAAATAAAAGTACTTCGTTTCATTGTTTTTTTTTTTTTGAAAAAACAAACTCATTCACATGAAATATTGTACTATGAAGAGGCCTATAAAAAATCAACACCTTATCAATCATCCTTATCAACAATCCAGGTACAATGGGATCGACAGAGATAGCCAAAGGACAATGATAGTTAAGACTTTGGCTCCATAAAATAGTAAATAACACTTCAAAAATTCATGTATATGTAATTATTCTTCAAATAAATTCAGCACAAATTATTAGAAAAAGTCTAAAAATAAATAAATAATAAAAAATTATATGGAACAATTTACTTACTTTTAAATTAGAATAAAAAAATATTAAAAAAGAGAGTTGTCAAAATATATGTATATTTTTTTAAGTTTACTATCAAATTATTACATTTAATCATATTAAAATGTCCTTGATATTTCTTTTATCAATGAATTAATCTAATACTATTTTCTCTATCTTTCAAAATAAATTGTGAGGATTTTTAAATCATTATAAAAATAAATGAGTGTATCCAAACTCATTTGCTCCTGCTATTATCTTCAAAGAAAGTGACTCAGCAGTCACCGCCAATCTTTAGCTGCTACATGTGAACTCTGTGTGTGTGTGTGTTTGTGTGTGTGTGTGTCTCTCTGTCTGGGTGTGTCTGTGTCTGTGCCTGTCTCTGTCTGTGAGAGTCCTTCTCCAATAGTGAAGGACCATGATTCAGCAGTGGCGTACCAATATATGGTCAGATGCTATATGTGTGGGAGAGAGACTCAAATTAAAGTAGGGCGCGAACATTTATTTGTAGCCATATGACATGATATGATTTGAATCCTGGCTTCTGACAAAAGAAAAAAGATTCTTGCACTTGGTTTGGGGTCCTCCCAAATCCAATCCTACTTTGTGAAGTGATAAGCTCAAACTCACTCAAAACTCTCTACACTTTCTATATACTATTCTTTTTCAATCCAATTATTGACAAACACCTAACTACTCCTCTTACCAATTTGATGTTGGACCATCCACAAATTTGATTCACAAATTTTTTTATTTTATTTTGTTATATTATTATTATTTTTTTGTGGGCTTCAAGTTTCATGTCATTTATGTCATAAATACTTGAAAAACAACACTAATAATATAATTGGAATACTTTTTAGACACGTGTTAAAGTGATTTGTTCTGTAATTTCGTGTAATCAATAATTTGTTGTTTATAAAATAGGAGTCCGTACGGTCTGATTTGATTAATTTCAGAGGGTAAATAAAACTAAAACGATTTTAACAGCAAATCAAATTAAGTATTCAAATTATTCATTTGGGCAGAAGAATTGCTGAAAATTATTCATTTTTTTTGGTCTCCTCAAAGTTTTAATTATTGTTAGGGTTGAGAGCCTATGTCAGCTGTTCACAAAAGGGTTAATGATTCATGTTCCCGCGGATTTAGCTACAGAAGAAAAGAAAAAAAAAAAAAAAGGTTTAATTATTGTTTTCAACAGCTAACTTTTGACTAGCACATGGACATTTGTTTTTAAGGTTTTTGTATTGAAAGATACACATACAATCCCACAAACACAAGGGTCCTGCAAGGACCTAACATGATGACATGCCACAAACATATGCAATGATTAAAATGAAAATGAAAGTTCAAACAATTAAAGCATAAAGACCAACTTAACATGGATTAAAGTTGCATTTTCCTATTTACAAAAGCTCAAATGTCACTGCCCATGTGGTCTAATGTTATATACCCCAATGAGACCATCATGATCAATTATTGCAAATCACAGTAAAGGAATATAATTATTAAATTTGCAAATACTTGTAAATGAAATAAAGTGATAAATATAAACCACACAATAGTGTTTTATTAATAAATTTCGGAAGAATTGATTTATCAATCAACGTCCCAAAAATCAGGATTACAATAGAGAAATAAACACGCACCACATAATGAATACTTTAATTCTAGACTGGATCTAAGGAGAGGAAGAAAAGAAGAAGAATCATCCAAGCCATGTTTGTGATTCTGAAAAGTGATTGCTTTAAGATGTAAAGTGGCATAGACTAATATTAACTAGGGCTTCAAATTAAGCAGAGTAATATTAAGAAAGAATTGAAAGCAGAAAGAAAAACACAAGGGATGAGGAAAGGAAAGGAAAGGAAAGGAAGAGAGTAGTTTTTTTTTTTGGAAGAAAAGAAAAAGAAGTATTTGCATCATCAAAGCACTTCCAAACAAATCAGTTTCATAAAAAAACAGTGAACTTTGCATTGAATCACCTTTTTCTTTTGATCCATAGAAAGAAAAGCTGAAGATAGTAGGACCCTGAAACCACAATAGGATGCTTCAAAACGTTGCCCTTCTTTTACTCTCCTAAAACCCTACCAAAACCCTTTGTCGCTTTACTAATTTTAGACACCAAAAAATATTGAAAAAAGTAAGTGGCAGTTCAGGAGAAGTGGGTCTCAGCAGTTTTAGCTTTATGCCTAATTGACAACTCAAAAGGGTACTTGTTTGGTTTCCGAGTAAAAGGTGGAGAAAAAAAAAAGTGGAATGGGGGCCTTTGAGAATTATTTGATTGTGACTAGTTTCAGCTACAACCACTCTCTCTCTATCTCTCTCTCTCTCTATATATAAACACACACAGACCACACACAGCTTCATAGTTCATTTGGGCTTATTATTGATATCTTTGATTTACCAGGCTATGGTGTTTCCTAAATGCAGGCCATGCCCAATACATGATGCTTTCTGGTGATCCATTTCAGCATGGGAGGTTTTTCCACTTTTATGATATATATTTCATGACATTTTTTAGATGCATATATGCATGCATGTCATACATAATTGTATGCCTGGCTCCCTGCATGCCATTTGTAAAGTCCATCCAACAACTGATGGTCTTTCTGGATGGCATGTGAGGAGCCAAGCATGGCATGCTTTTGATCATGTACACATGCAACTAGTAGGATACTATGAATTCAATTTCCATTGTCCCTTTTCCTGTATATATGCTCAATATATATATATATATATATATATATATATATATAACTCAAAATTTCTTTCAGTGCTGTGACTATGATGCATAAAAAATATACCTCCAATTCTCATTCTTTTCTCTTCAGTCTTGGTCGATGGATATAATTCAATATGTTGCATGGAAAATTGAAATTCTTAGGGCTTCGGCTTCGCTATATGCATATATAGCTTTTCCCTCCTAATTTCCTTCAGGGCTTTCGGTATATGACACACTTTCAGTTAAACAAGTTATATTTGCATTTAGCTTATTAACATCTCCAGTGTTCGATAGAGTAACTCATAATCTCATCTTAATAGTAATCTATTTTATTCTGGCAATTATATCAGTATATTTTTATTCTAAGATCATTAATTGGCATTCATAAAATTAGAACCCCCTATCTAATAATCACTACTACTTTATAAAATTGCTTGTTTAGATGATTTTTTATCATGAATTTTGCTAAAGCTTTGGACTAAATTTCCTCCGATTTTAATTTCACGGCATTGATTTGGTGATACCAAACCCCCCTAACATTACTAAATTTCATATTCAAAGATGCTCCATAAGTCATATAAGGTTGTGTCATGTATAAACTGTGACTATATAACATTCTTATTTCAGTGTATTGATCCTGTGTGTGCTTGTGTTAACTGTAATTGTACTGTGAAGATCAAATGTTGTGAACTTGTGAAGCTCCTCAGATCAGACTGATTTTTGACATGACTCAGGCAACAAATGCAAGGACCAATTTGACCCCTCAAAACAGATCACAGGTATATATCATATATGCATCTAGTATCGGACTATATAGTCTATATGCCTAATTTTGTTGCTTGCTTGCTTGGTAATTGAAGACTAATGGTGTGGCCTGTTATAGTTTAGCCAAAATAAAGTTGTGGTTTGAGCCCACAGCACAATACAGAGTTGTTTTTCTTCATATTTAGCAATAATTGATCTATTGAATTGAATGTTTATTTGATCAAATATACAGAACTCTTCACACAACCTATCAAAAAATTATGAATTTTTACGATGGAGCTGGTTTTTTCCAGACCATGACACTCATTTCCAAGACTGCACTGTTGTAAATTTGGCATGAATGGATGTTCTTTGGACCACTGATCCTGGCTACTCGAAAAGGGGCTGTACATGGGCACTTCTTCAACCACTACTGGTGGAAGCCTTGGAGAAAAGGTTTGAAGAGTGCTTCTGGCCAATTTTGACATCCATGAGATCAGCTACAAGTCCGGGGTGTGATACCTTAACAGCTTCGATATTGATCTCGTTAGTCAACATCTTGACGGCTTCAGACATCTTGGGCCGGAGACTGGTGGTTTCTTGCACGCAGAGCAGGCCGACCTTCAAGAATCGGAAAGCTTCTTCCTTGACATAATCTCTGTTTAGTACTGGATCCACTAGCTGCAATAGGATGTCAGCATTGTACATTTCCCATGCCTGCACGCGCAAATGTGCACAAGGGTCTCATTTTTACCATATGAAGCTAAACTTGCTACATTATGATTGATCCGAAAATCACAATTTTACAACCATATAACATACACACTCACATGCACTTTTTCTACATACTTATGCTAAAACAAACAGATTAGTGCATTAAGTTGAACGGTTAAGAAAGGTAATGCATATTGGACTTGTGTTGATGGGGTGAGACAGGATAAACAATTGTAAGCTACTACAACTATAATGTCCAAAGGTACATCTATCTAATAGGCTATATACAGTAATTTTTTATGAACCAAACACATCCCATCTGGGCTTTTTATGCTCAACCTTCATAATTTGGTTCTCTGCAAGAATGAATAGTATAGCTATGCTAGATTGAGTAATTGGTCAAATTTTTGTTACCTTATCGACGAGGTACTGCTCTCCACTTTCCAAATTGAAGTCCACAACTGGCCTGCCGCTGACAATTTCCAGTAGCAGAACTCCAAAGCTGTAAACATCCGATTTCCTTGACAAATGTCCAGTAATGGCGTATTCTGGAGAAAGATAGCCTCTTAGGCATTGGTGATTGCAAGAAACCCCATTAGCAAAAGCACACAAAAAACAATGAACCCAATGCAGATTTAGTGCAAGAACCAGGAATTAATTCAACTTACAATGTCCCGGCCACACGAGTACTAATGTGAGAAGCATTATCCCTAAATAGCTTCGCCAGACCAAAATCCGAAACTTTTGGTATAAAATTCTGATCAAGGAGTATATTGGTGGCTTTAATGTCCCGATGCACGATATGGGGATCGACCTCTTCGTGTAGATAGGCAATGCCACGAGCAACCCCTAATGAAATATCCCTCCTAAGTGTCCAAGTAAATTTAATCCTGTTCTTCTCTGCACCTATAATCAGCATTCAGCAATCGTAATAAAACATTGAAATTTTAAGCAAACACAAAATGGGAAGCTATTAGAATCAAAATTAGTACCAAGAAAGGCGTGGGCGAGACTATTGTTTTCCATGTAATCATAGACCAAAAATCTGTTAGCTCCATCAATACAACATCCTTGGAGGGTAACAAGATTTTCGTGTTTGACATTGGACAGTGCAGCTATTTCAGATATAAATTCCCTCTCACCTCTCATTGATTCAAGTTCAACTGACAGTACCTTTACAGCCACAACTCTGCCATCTTTAAGCCTACCCTTTATAGTCCAACCAAAAACCATAGTACAACAAAATTAATAATCATAGTATTATTACATTTGCCAAAATACACACACACAAAACACACACACATATGTGTGTGTATGCATATAAAGATGATCATTACCGTGTAGACAACACCAAATCCTCCCTCTCCAATTTTGTTTGATTCGCGAAAACTATGAGTGGCAACTCTCAATTCATTGTAAGTGAAGACACGGAAATTCTGGTCATCTGGTTCAAAAATTCAATAAAAACATTATGACATACCTAGAGAATAGATTCATTTATACGAAGATTATGAAGAGAGGTCAAGAGCAATGAAAAGGAAGCAAAAAAAAAAAAAAAAAAAGGTTAGAACTCACCTTGGCCACTTGTATTGACAACCATGACATCTGTTGAAGAAGAGAAACAATTTAAGCAAGGAAAAGAGAACTTCATATTGTGAACTGTAATTAGTTCTATCTGATTGCCTGAAATTTTGGATTTGACATCTGAATTCCCATGGTTGACGGGTATGTGTATCAGAGATGCAGAATTAGAACATTAGAGAGCCAACAAGAAGAAGAAGAATTAAAGAAAATGTAACAGGAGAGACTAAATACCCAATAATGCCCATGGTATTGACTTTCGACAGACTTTGCTGAATTAGGTATTCAAGAGGACTGTGGTGAGATGTATCTCATTATAGTTGTCATGAGCTCTCTTTAAAATTCACACATTTTTACCCAAACAAAAAAAAGAAGAAAGAAAAAAACAATGGATCATCTCATTGCTTGTATTAATATAGTCTTGTTATAAAAAAAAATCAATATCAAAATACCTTAGAAATAAAATTGAACGAATTAATCAAAGAGAAAGTATCAATTTAGTAAATGATAATAATAATAAGAACACAAAGTTTGACTAAAACCTGCAAAGTTTTACATTAAGTTTTCTGTCAAGGCATAATTAGGATAAAAAAAACAAAGAATTAATTAGTGTTGTAATAAGATTTACCACAACATACATTTTTTTTTTTTCCTGGTCTTTTGTTTGTCTAATTAAGGACATGGTAGGCTTGTTAAATCAAATTGTCGGAGAAGTATACATAATATTTCTATTCAATGTACAATCATATTTTTTCATGAAAATTTCCTGTTTCTCGTATAACCCGGCACAAGCTTGTATGTAATTCAGTACATACAGTGAGAGTAATTATCTGCACTGACTTTTTATTTAATTTTATTTAGTATTAAACCCTTGTAATTTTTTATTTATTTTTTTAATTATATATCTATCAAATTGATTATTCTTTCCATTAAAATTCTTTAAAAAAAAAAAAAAAAAAACCCACTAATTTTAAAATTAATAAATATTGCAAAGAGATAAAATTTTGACCTAATGGAGACATTCAACGTGAGAAGTTTCTAGAGGGTGAAATAGTCCAATTCAAAGTTGTTTATTTCTGAGCAAGGACCAAACGCCACGTGCTATTTATATATATATATATATATATACACACATCTATGTGGTGTATTTTTGTGTACCCTTTTGTTTTTCTTCATTACATGCCTAATTGGTTGCTTCCTCTGCAGTCCCAAGAAGCTGCATGGAGGCTTAGGAGGCCAAGAAGAAAGGCCCAAACTAGTCTGAACCAATCATAAAATAGATTATAAATTTGAACGAGTCAAACTTGCAATTAAAATACAAAAATGGCCATTCTGAAGCTTGCCACGTCAGAATAAAATGGGACAATTCTGTCATTTAAATTGTAATCTCCCTTTTGTTTCACATTTCAATTTAATGAGTCAAAAAAGCATATTGATTCATCGTTTGGCCAATTCATCATCTAATACCAATAATGAAAAGGAAGTCGTACCCAAAGGGTCTAAACCGAGTCTAAGCCCTTTGACTTTGATGGTCACATTCGCAGAGGGTTAATGGGTTTGGTATTCTATAATTGCAACATTAAAGTTTCGGTCCAACTCGTTTTAAGTGAGAAGGAATCTTGATTTATTTTTTATTTAAAATAAAATAAAAATAATGAAAATTTTCTAAACCTGTCAACACGGTAGGCAAGTTCATACATATACTTTGTGATCGATTGTAATTATAACAAGATTCTAAGTAATATGTGAACAGCAAATGAATAATCAAAATATTTAATTTGGACATTAGATGTTATTATTTAGTGTAATGATAGTATACATAATTTGATAGTAATTTTATATTTGAAGTGTCTTTGACTCTTTCATGGTAATGGATAATTTTTTAAATGCATTAAAATCTGCATCTGTATCTTCCTATTTTATGATCATGGCTCATCTTCAATTCTTCATCATTTACCTGTCTTTTATCTTCTTCTTTTGTTAAAAAAAAATAAAAATACTTTATAACCACATTTGAATTTTGAGAATCAAAAATAAAAAAATAATAAAATAAAATAAAATCTTTTAAAATTATTATTACTATTATTTTTGAGAATCATACACACGTTTAGGTGATATTGTAATCCACACATAGAATTGAGTGGGACAATTGCTCCCACTTAACTTTTAATTTATTCTATTTTTATATCTATATTATTTACCAAATTATATATAAGTTTCATTCTCAATTCTCATGACACACAATAAGTTCATACCCTCTATTTGTCTGTCGAATTTCTATATTACTGTGTCAAATTCTCTTCAAAATAAAAGCACGAGGGCATTATAAAAATATATACATTTTTTAGCAAAATATCGACTCTAAAGCCAATTACAAGGATACTATAATCCCCTTTTAGGCAATATTATTTTTTCTGCAAAATAAGATTTTAAATTTTCTGTAAAATAATTTACAATCAACGGTTTAGGCACATAAAAATGAGAGGGAATAAATATCTTTATGAAATTAACCCTGATATAAATTATATGTATAAGATTTGGTTGGGCTAGGTTTTTAATACCTTATTCCAGCCCAATCCAGACTAACGTGAGGTTCAAACTTTTCATCTTAAAATCCAACCTAATCAGCAAAACTAGTTTTCTTGCTAAACTGGGGGAAAAAAAATCCAAACTTTTATTAGTAGTTAAATTAGAAAAATAAATAAAATTTTATCATGGAGTTGAAATATTCGACCATTTTTTTTTTTGTTTTAAAAAAGTTCAGATTTGGAATTTATAAAAAATATATAAATAAACTTTTAATGTACTATTTTTATTAGTTTGTTAAAATTTCTTGTTAAAAAAAATGGAAAATGATAAGAGAATGAACCAAACAACAGAATAAAAGGTCGAACTTAACATGGCTCAGCCCCATCAGATTATTTTTTAAAAACATAACTCCTACCTCTTCCCTTCTCTCTCCTCTCTTCCTCTAATTCTCGATTTTTCTTTTGTATTCAATTTTATCTTTGATTTTGGTTTTGTCTCTCTTTTTGATTTCGCAAAATTGAAGACAAAATAAAAATAAAAAAAAAATTATTCATGTTTTGCAAATACAGAAGCACAAAACCAAAACAGAACAAAAAAGTAAAAGAAAAAGAAAATAAAGCTTTCTCTCCTTCAGATTTTATATCATACAAATTAAACAGAAACTTTGAGAAGATTCATGTTTCTCTTTTCTAGATTGTTTGTTTTTTTTTTTTTTTTTTTTTTTTTTTTTTTGTAAGAGATTAATGTGTTTTGTAATGGCAAATCTTGTATGGATATTTACTTACCCAAAAAAAAAAATCTTCTGCATATTTTTTATCTGGGATTGAAAAGATTTATTTTTGGAAGATTTATAAATAGAGAAAAGTAGTGATCTTGAAAAAGGAGCGAGGATAAATAATTTTGGATTTTGTCTCTAGAATACTTTGAATATATGTATATCAAGAGAAGGGATGTATAAGAAGAATTGGTGAAGAACCAGACAGACACAGAGAGGAGGAGAGAGAAACGAAGAGGAAGAGAGAGAAAAAGGAAAAATTGGGAAAGAAAAATATAGAAAATTTTAAATTTGGAATTTTCGAAATTGATTGAAAAATGTTGGGTTAAAAAAAAATTTGTCTCGAGTATGGAAATATTAAGTGTCAGGTTACAATCATTTCGAGTGCAATCAATTCCTCAGGAGCTACTACTGCGGATATAATCTAAATTTTACTTGATTTGTATGGAGAAGGCACTTTACATGAATTTCATAAATTAGTCGGGACGAAGTTACAAACACCTTAACTATCGGATAAAAAATAAATAATACAAAAAAAAAAAAAAAAATCATGAAGCCTTGTCACTAACCATTTTACCCAACTTTGCATCATAACTAGTGGAAAATTAGAGTTATCTAGAAAATGAGAAGTCCAAATCAATCTTTTTCTTTTATTTCATAGATAGCTAGTGGGACTGGACCTTGGGGTTGGGGTCCTTTTCAATATGGAATAATATGAAGTAACAGTTGATCAAAATAGCAATATATATCTCAATCCAAAAACTCTTTCCTTTTTCAATTTGAAGAAGTCTGAGGTTAATTTTCTTATATAACTTATATATATAACTTTATATATATATATATATATGTCAAACTCATACGGCTCTTTTGGATTCACAAATTTCTAAACTTGTTCTAATATAAAGCTTGAAAGAAAATTGTGAACCTCAAACAAACATCCCTTTGTGGAAGTGCTTAAATTGATACTAACGAGACAATAGTGTTGGTTAAATCATTGTGGGTGGTCCAAAGTTTTAACGCCTGAATTATATATATTCTTTGGGGCTTGTTTGGCTGTCTCTCTTTTTTTTTTTTTTTTTGGGTAATTATACACACATGCCTCCGTCAATGTTCGAACCTCTAACCTCCTTAGAAAGTAAAAGTCTGGTACTGCTAGGTAACTGTCCTATTCGTGTTTGGCTGTCTCTTGTAAAGCTTCCGTTTTGTTTTTTTTTTTTTTTTTTTACAAGACAAGAAGGTAAAAGTTAAATTAGTAGATGTAAAGAGTCGAAACTTGACACTCTAAAATTTATCAAAAATGCTAAACCACTAAACTTTTGAGACATCTACTGCTCCTGTAAAGCTGAATGCTTCAATAATGATTTTCTTATATGAAATATGAATGTTTGCATCATCTACAATAGGAAATTGCAGCAATTGGTGGTGGGGTCAGTCCAAAACAGTTTTGGTGAGAATAAAAAAGATATACAAATAGTAAGCCAATTTATAAGACCTTCTTACCTTTGACATTGTTGCAATTTTTTTTGTAAACTTAATGATTTCTATCTTGAGTAAATTATAATACTCCGTATAAACATCTAACCAAACAAAACATGAGCAACCACCCTTGGTTCTCAACTAATTTATGTATTGAAACCCTACCATTTACAAGTCAACTTTCATAACCTTTAATGATTATTATGAATTCAATTGGATGTCTTTATCAAACGTAACGCTGGGGCATAGGAACTCAGTTCTAGTACATGGTTACAGAGTGGTGGGGCATATTAATATTTCATTGATATCAGACCAACATTAGTTCAAATGTACAGTTGTACGTGGTTGGTTCCCCACTATTATTTTATTTTTATTTTTTTCCCGCAAATACTCACGCACACATTCTCATAAATGTCACAATGTCATTGAACACGAATTCTCGTGTTTCGATTAGGAAAAGAGATTATAACAACAGGTTAGTCTAGTGTTCTTGAACATTTTTATGATTCTATGTTTAATAGCATCGAATTGACTTCATAAATTTAGAATTAAAAGAAATTTAATTCAAAATTTAATTTCAATTTGGTGTTTTCAAATCCAACGTGAATGATTTTATAAGATTTTGTATTATAATTAAATGGTACCTCAACGGAGTTCATCAAATATAATGATCATCTTGTTTTAGTAAAAAGGAAAGAAGAATATTTTACAAACATTTTTTACATTTCTGGTCCCCTTGTGAGCAAACATGAAGCACTCAGAGCATATTGGGTAAGCCCGCTAAAATAACTTCCACCATAATCAAAACAAAAGCAAATTTAATACCAAGTTTTCTAAGCTCCAACTTCCACCATAACCAAAACAAAAGCAAATTTAATACTAAATTTACATCCCAAATTAGGATTGTAAGAAATGGGTAATTGGATAAGTCGCTAAAATAACTTATTAATATATATATATATATATATATATATATATATGTGTGTGTGTGTGTGTGTGTATTAAATATAGTTATATGCGGGGCAGGCCCCCTAGGATATGTATATTGAACCTTTACCCGCCCCGTGACTCTTGACGGGTACAAAATTTGTATTCATGTCCGCCCCAACGGTATAAAAAGTGTTCCCATATCCGTTATTAATGGGGCGGGACGGGGTAGGGCTTTAGCGGGACAGTAAAAATTGACATCCGTATTCGAATCGTATTAGCGTGTCATATCAAATATTGCCACCCTTAAAATTGATCCATTTATTCGCATTCTTGGATGTCTCAATGAGAAGGACTTTTACCACAAAATTACTTTGAAAATAAAAAGGAGACAAATGAATTTTGTGTAAGAATTTACTTTATTAAATAAGTACTGATCTTTGTACAGTAGATAAAGTAAAAAAAATAAAGGTTGAAATTATATTATCCATTAAATAAGTGGAACCAAAGAAAACTCATAGATAGAGTAACAGAGATGAAGAGTAATAAATGTATTTGAGAGGGGGTGATAAATGTATTTGAGTGCATCCAATCAACATTTTAAATTTGGATTTTAATTTTAAATTCAAGTTGCTAATTAATACTAATTTACAAACAATTATTTTAGGATTTGGGACTCATAATATTATAATATATACATACACGGGTAAGAATGAAGTAAAAGATAAGAGATATAAAGTAATGAAGATGGCATTAGGAAGGTTGGATGTGATTTAACTTCCATTATTTTTGTCCTAATCATCATCCATCCATCAGCTTCTTATCTGGGCTGCTGTTGTCGCCGCATAATTATTACTAATTAATTACTATTTCCCCCCCAAATTATGTGAAAATGACAAGCAAACTCATAGTCAAAACTCATTGAGAGCTCAATCCCTCACAAAATGATTGAGCCTGTGAACTCAGGCCTTTAATCACATTATGTCTCAATCAGTGAAGGTTTCAATTCATTTTAATGTCCAAATAATTTTGAAATATGGTTTTAAGGTTTATGTTTTGGGCCTATGGCAGGGCACATGATGTTATTTACCACTCACCACCTTATTGAGTACTAAAACTTTAAGTGAGGGACCCGCAAGCTACAAAATATAATGCTTGGTAGCCTCGTGAATGGAGCTACTATATATATATATATATATATATATATATATATTTGTTTATTTCAAACACAAGTGTCCAATAGGCAAAAACAATCCTTAATTAATGATGGATAAAAATAAATTGTTATTTGATAAAATTAAAAATATTAAAAACTTAGGGCTTGTTTGATATCACTATTTAGCACATGAAAAGAACATGGTAAAGCAAAATTTTAAAATTAACGTAATTGATAACATTTAAGTTACACTTAAAATAAACATATCAAAATTTTATAACCTTGCTAATGGTAAGTAATTTTAGGTTTTAGATATTTTGTTAATAACAATGTTACCCTCAAACATTATATTTTTAGGTTCTCTATAACTTGTTTCTACTCTTGAAATTAAACGTATTAATACTACTCTTGAAATTAAACGTATTGATAAACTTTCTACTCCCCCTTTGCATTTTTATTCCCTTTCACTTAATTTTTACTTTTATTTTACTCAAATTTCTCAAATAATATAAATATAAATAATATTCAACAATATATATATATATATACATACTGCATGGTTCACTTAAATTATAATTAACAATCATGCAATAAAACCCTCACACCATTGTTATGATGCAAATCTACTACATAAATAAATATTGAATGATTTGTGCTTGAATTCTAATCTCCTTTTCATAAATATTTTATTTTCATAAGTTATTCATTTTATATGTTGATTTTGAATTTTTTATGATAAGTTTTGACATTAATATCCATTGTTAAATTGATATATATTTTTTGGTGAAGTTCATTATTTTATTTATATGTCTATGTTTTAATATAGTATCTTTTATAATAATATTATGTGTAGAAAATATTCAAGGCAAAAATGTAATATATACAACATTCATATTTCTACTTTTGCATTTAACAAACAATATTCAACGATTAAAATTAATATAATATCAAACAAGTTTATATATTAATATATTCAGTACTTAAAATTTCAGAACTTGAAATTTTTAGTGCTTAATTTTCAGTTTTATCAAACATCACATTAGTTTTAAATGCTGCAGTTTTTAAGGGGCAATTGAAATATAAATATTTTTTTGATTTTTTTTTTTTTTGAATTTTCAGTATTCAATATTTAGTGATACGTGATGTTTCACTTAAAATTTTATCCTATTTTAAACTATTGTTACCGTTTTTAGTGATATTTAAATTATTTTATCAATTTAACTTAATTGGTTAAGCGCTGCCCAGAGGCATAGCGACGTTGATAGAGATTCGACAGATAAGTCTTTGAGGTCTCGTTTTCAAATCACACTCATAACTTAAATAGTGTTTGTTATAGGATTGATACACATACTTTTTTTAAAAAAATATAATTAAATAAACGCTGGATTGAGTAATACTATTTTAAAATGTTCAAATCAACCAACCATGGACACTTAGGTTAGTACTGATATGAAATCGAAACTATGATATATATATAAGTAATTATTTTTATTGCTGAGTAGGTAGCCCTGACTAATCAATGGCGCATGTGACTTGTCAAATTCATAATGGAACACATATTGGGTTTGTGTCCAATTTGTTCCTCTTGGTATCCTCTCAATAAGAATTATATTTACTAATAATGGTCACTTATTGTTGGGGCTGAAATTCGGAGAAGATCGATGAACCTTGACGGTATCGGTGTGGTGTCTGTCAAGAGCTCCCCGACAATCAAATTAGTCACGAAGGTCTAAAAAGAAGATAGGGATTAATAATAGTTTTTACGTCTTTTTAATGGTTATTGGAATCAAAATCGTTCCGCCGATGTCGATGATTGATCTTATCTTCCGTTTGTGCGAAATCATAAGAGATTTATTATCAAATTTGTGGGGAATATGATTTAATCCTTTTGACCTCCTCCAATTATAGTAGGATTATTCTTACCTGTTGAATCAGGTCAGATTTGATTTCATTATCAAGATAATAAAATCTAATCAATTTTATCGAGTGCAGGTATGTTTATATTTTTCCTAACCACTTATTAACTAGTGAATTGTGTATGGAGCTTGATTATTAGATATATCTGCGTTCACGAACGTAACAAACCAAATTCTATTTTCATGTCTTTTTTAATTTTATTTTGTAGACTTTCTTGTCATGTTAGTTGGGGGACAAAGTAATCTCGGAAAAGCAATATTTACCATTAACATAACGGCTAGCAGCCTAGCACAAGATGTGCTCAAAAATATAGTTAAAAATAATATTTGATTATTTTTTATTACATGTTCCGTATACATTTTGTGAGCTAAAAAGGAAATTTGTAACTACAATTCCATTAAGTTTCTTTTAATTTATATAAAGAAAATATTTATACCTTCAATAGTGAAATTTACAACATCCTTACTATTAATGTAAACAAATAATAATGAACATGTCATCTTTAATTATCAAATCAAAGAGAGTGGAGTATATACTCAATTACCAAATTAGATGTGATTTGATTACCATCTATGATTTGGTAATTAAAATAGCATGTATTCATTTATTATTGGTCCACACCAAGGGTCACTATATTGTAGATCTTCACTAGTGAGGACTTAATTATTGTCTTTTATATAAACTCAGTACGCTTATTAGTAGATATATATATATATTTTTTCTTTTTCTTTTTCTTTTTTTTTTAAAAAAAGAAAAAAGAGAGGTTTGAGTATTTAAAACTTGTTAGGGACAATATTGTAAAATTAATAACTGTTTGTTTGAACTTTGGAAAAGCATATATATATATATATATTTATTATTTAATCAAACCACAAAATATTTTATTGATCAAACACTTTATATAATTAAGGACGAAGTGCCAAAAAAAAAAACCCACCCCAATTATTACCCATTTGCAAGAAATTCCCTTTAAATGTTTTTGACAAGAAACTCCCTCAACTATGAGGAGGGGGTGATTTAACTTACCTCCGTTTAATAATCTTGTGAGACAATTTTTTCTGACCAAATAATCCTTACATCTGGGTAAGTAGCTTCGGTTAGGTCTTTACGCGTGAAAAAAAAAAAAAAAAACAAAAAAAACAAAAACAAAAACCTTCTCCCTCACTTTCTAAGAAGTGTGTAAGAAAAGAGAGATATATCAAAAAAAAAAAAATACACATAGAGGTAGCTCCAAAAATCAACCAAATGGAGTGCAATTCAATGACCTAGCTTAAAACACAATATATCACCTTAGAGAGAGAGAGAGCTTTGGACTCTTTTGTGTGCGTGACGCGTGTGTGTTCGCCGGAGTTGCAAGCAGCATATTGGAGATTACTGTGTGTTCGCCAGAGTTGCATTCACACCCTGGAGCTCACTGTCAGTTCGGTTGCTATCGAGGTAGGTTGCCGTTGCACGGAGCTCGCCGTTGAAGCTGGGTCGATGTAGAATGAAAAAATCAAGTTTTTGATTCAGGTTAAATGAAAATACCAGAAAGCAATAAATTTAATTTTTTCATTATTTATGAAGAAGATTTATGAAATTGAAACTTAATTTCATCCCTCTTTACCGATAATTGCACACTCACTCTATAGATAAACAGTACATTGGGAGTAACTATTATAACATAGAGATGACTCACCTTCGTCACAATATATTCCTCAATTTCCCCAATTTTGCTCATGTAATCCTTCAAGCCATCTGTATCCACGTCCTAAGGGATGCCCAAAACCTACAAAATATACAAATATGCCACAAATATATATATGTGTTTGTGTGTGAAATTTATATGGCAACGAACATATACATAGAAAGTTGTACCAAGGATGAAAGTAAGAACAAGACTTGAGCAACTCCATCAGTGCTCTTTTTGGCGAAACTGGGCCAATTTTTGAAGATTGGATGCTCCAATGGACCATGAGAAAAGTAGCCCCAAAGAATGACTCTTGATGGAGGTAGTTAGAAAGCAAGGGTGGGTTGGCATTTGGCCTCACTTTTTGTGGGCCTATTTTTGTTTTCTTTTATTTTTTAAATTCAGGTCAGAACACTATTTCTAAACCTAGAACATTATTTGAACATATTTGGCTAAAATAAAAGCTAAAATTCAGATTTTTTCCTTACTTTGGTTTCTCTTTGTTTTTTTTTTCCCTTAAAATAATTGAATCAAAGAGTCGTTAAGGCACTATTTGGCTGACACAAACAGTGTCTTAAAGGCTTTTTTAGGCAAAAAAAAATTGTTTTAAAAAATTGGAAAAAGTGATTTTTTTTCCTTTTTAAATTTTTTAATGTTCCTATTGATATAGCCGTTAGAAAAAAGTTAAAAAATAAATTTTAAAAATATTTTTGGAGAGCAAAAGTGTACCATTGGAGTACACGCGATACTAAAATTTAAAGACTCTACAATGCTGACGTGGCTATGGGAAATACTTATATGACTAATGAAAATACTGATGTGGTAAATTCGGAAAGCCTAATTTTAGAGAGTCTATTGGAGATGCTCTTACCACAAGCTTTCTCTCCGACATACTAGACAAGGGTTAAATTACCAATTCGCAAATTGGATCTTTGCACAAGACACTCAATTTCTCTCCCTTCGTTATTGTTTGCACAATTCCCTCTCAGTGTATTTTATTTTTATATATTACTCTCTTTTTTCAGTTCTTAGAATGTGAGGGAGAGAACTCAATTTTTTTTTTTCACTTGGTGAAAATCCAACTGAAGCTACTAACTAGATGTAAGGATAATTTGGTAAAAAAAATTATCTCACAAGATTATTAAACGAAAATAAGTTAAATCTTCCCCTCATTATAGTTTAGGGGAATTTTTTGACAAAAATATTTACAATGGAGTTTCTTACAAATGTATAATAGTAAAAAAAAAAAAAAAAAATTTGCAGTTCGCCCTAGAATTAATCTTATAAAAATTGATGAAATCCTAAATTCCTAGTTTAGTAAACCTCCTTTTTCATTCACATCACATGGCCTACCCATTAAGTCACTCACTTTCATATTGTATCATTTCCCTCATAAGAAACCAAATAGAGTCCATTTGTTTACAATAAGTTTTATTTTTATTTTTTTTCAATTTACTTCTAAAAAATAATTTCAACTATGAATTACATAAAAAGTCAAAACAATTGCAATTATAATACTCATGTTGGATAGAACTTGGTATTAGTATAATCTGACCAGCTTAACTTGCACGAAAATAGTTTATGGGAAAAAATTAAAAATGTAAATTCCAACAGACCCTAACGATTGCGTTGTCAATATATGCTCTATTTTTCCGTTTCTCGTGAGAAAAATATTTTTCCCGATATATCCCGAAACTCTGTAGTCTGTACCCGCCGTAGTACACTAGTACCAGTTGGCTGCGCTTCCTGTCAAAAACCACCTCTCTCTCTCTCTCTCTCTCTCTCTCTCTCTCTCTCCACACGCACACAGTATAATTTCAATTTTTCTTAGCTCTACCTCTCTCTCTCTCTCTCTCTCTCTCTGGAGGCACTTGTTATAAATCTTTATCTTCTTCTCTGTTTGTTAAATTTCAGAGGTTTTTGAAGGGTTTTCTTTTCATCTGAGATTATTGAAATTGATTGATTGATTTCACAAATATAGTTGTAACAATTGAAACGTAATATATATCTATACATATGGGAGCTTCTAGCAACAACCCAATTGATGAGGATGCTTCCAACAACCACCCAATTGATCCCCCTCCTCCTATTCAAAAGGTATTTTTTTGTTTCCCTTTCTGCTTTCTTTCTCTCTCACTCTATACATGTATTGTGTTTTTGTGTGTGTATATACGTGTCTGTATTAGTTCTCATTTTTATTATTTTTCTTTTTACATTTTTACTCAATAGATTCTGTCATCATTTTTGTTATTGGGCGCTGATTTTTGTTCTGATTTCTTATTTGGATGCCTTCCATTTTTCTCAAGAATTTCATTTACGGTCTCTGTGTGCTCTTTTTTTCCCCTTTCTTTCATTGATTTTATGCTTTGATCCTATTTTTTTATCGCTAAAATTAATTTTTGGCCTACCCTCCGAAAAATTGTACTTCCATAATATAAAATTTATTGGGTTCTTATATAGTCAGTATTCTATATAGGTTTAAATTCTATACCTGAACTTTGTGAATGCTTGATGTTTGTGTTTACGTGGCTGTGCATATTTATATTATATGGTGCAAATTCAATCCAACAGAATCATAGAGCATTTTGCAACAAAGCTAAAAGCCCTTTTAAAGAAATATGTAGCTTTAAGGCCATCCACCAATGCTATACCTTTGACTTCAATTAGTTCCAATTGTTCCAGGAATTTCTTGCTCCCATTGGACCATTATATATATATATGCATTAGGATCCCAATTCATGGATCTCTCGTATTGTATGAATCAATTTTTTGAAACCAGGTTTGCAGTAATTGTTGATGCGATATTAGACATGATCAACTTGTGTGACATTGTTGTATTATATTCACCAACCACTTTGACAGGGGTATTGGATTCATTGCCATTTCTTAACGAGACAAGTGATTTTTTTTTTCCTGATTCATGGCATATATTGTAGGCTGGAGAATCAAGTGAAATAATCGAAGAAAATGCAACAAGTCAACACCAAAGGCCACCCCTTTTTTTAGAGATACCTCCTAGAACATTTGATGGCTCCACAGAGGATTTTGTGAGGATAAACATGCCCGCATCACCATGTCCAACTCCGAAAAGAGTGAATTTTTCTCCAATACCCAGCCCTAGTTATGCCAAATTCAATGGGTCTCCAGGTTCATCTAGAGGTAAATCATCCATGAAAAGCCTACTTCCTAAACTAAGCTTCAAATTCCGGAATTCCACTGCAGATATTGAAAAGGCTGCTATCCTAGCTCTGGGAGGTTCACATTCAGGGACACGAGAGAAGCCCTTGATTCCAAGGACATTTTCTCTTACAAAGCTTTTCAATCCCAAAACTGAAAAAACATCATCTTTACCTGTTACTCCAATTGCACACTCGAATCCAGAGTCTACACATGGAGGGAACAGAGTCGATGCTCTAAATTCTTCTGTAAGTGTTAGCTTGACAACAATCATAGTATGAATTTAGCTTTATTATGAGTTTAATAATTCCTCGTTGCTGTTGTGCACCATTTAACAGCTCCCCTGACTAGTCAATTGATTCCAAGCATTTCTACCAGAGTTCTTTACCATCTGTATAACTACATAAGAAAGAATGTTGACATTAAAATTAGATTTGGTCCGGAAATTAGAGTCAATTCCCTCTAGTCTGCTTGTGCACATCTGCATTTTCTACATTGTTGAAGTGATGGATACCTAGAGGCTCTTTTTTTTTTTGGGTCAACTTGAGTGTAGTCATACTCCATCTGGTTTATTTAATATATGTGCTTTATAAGGTGCACCTTGTAAATCCTTCAAAAGTCAGTCTCTTAGTTCCCGTCAAAATCTAGAAGTGGTAGTTCAATCTGTACTTCTTTGACATCCTAATATTGTTCCTGTCAGTACTGTAGTCTCACTTGTTTCTTTCATTTATTTTTCAATAATTGATATTTCCACTTTATCTCGCACCATAACTTTATATACTTCTGTATTTGATTCTTTAGAATTCCTACTTGACAGAAAGATGAGACGTATCTTCCTATTCATCGTTCACATTCAGTTCCTGTGTTAGATAAATATGAAAGCATGAAGCAGATGGATGCCTCAAGTGGTGTATTTCGTGTAATTCCCACTACTCCACGGGTGGCAGAGGGAATTGCTGTGACATCAAACACAACTCCAAGTGATGCTGGTAATTTTTGTTACCGAAAATGTTATTGTTGTTGACATAGTTTAATAGGGCTGTGTGTCGATTAGCTTGAAATTCTCTCTTTCAAAGTCACAAAAGGGCCTTTTTCTGGCTTGACTTGGCCATCTACCAAGGAGAGTGGTGTCAAATGAACTTGGCTCCATGATTTCATCACAAGGAGCTTTGCCGCCTGATCTAGTTCATAGTGGCTAATGACAACCAAATCTACGATTAGGAATCCTACTAGAACCATATAATTGTGCTAGAGCTTAAACTTTGGTACTTTATTTGAAGAAATCACTCTGTAATGGTTAAAGATGTTATCTCAGTGCAAGTTGTTTTTGACATTTATATTATCTGGACAAATCGTCTATCAATTTATAAATAAGTCTTTGTTGTAGTATAATACTTGGATTTTAACTATACTTCACATTTTATTTTTCTGCTGTAACTTTTAAACCTGTATGCAAATTGCGATAACCAACCTATGCCTTAAAGGTCTTCTGGTTCAGATGCAAATGATGAACATGGTGAAAACATTCCTGAAGAAGAAGCTGTTTGTAGAATCTGCTTGGTCGAACTGGGGGAGGGTGCTGACACCCTCAAGATGGAATGTAGCTGCAGAGGTGAGCTTGCATTGGCTCATCAAGAATGCGCTATAAAATGGTTTAGCATCAAAGGTAACAAGACATGTGATGTATGCAAGCAAGAGGTTAAGAACCTTCCTGTCACTCTTCTACGTATTCAAAATGTTCAGTCCCATAACATGCGAGGAATTGGAGCTGGGCAAGTTGAAGTTACTCAATACAGGTAAGTAAATGATATTATCATGTTGCAATGTTTGGTAAAAAGGCACTGATGCCCATTCTTTTATTTTCATTTTACATTTTCTCCAATATTTATTGTTTCTTTGATTATTTGTGTATTTCATGATTTGAAGAGAGAAGAAAATTAGTTTGAAAGTGTGGCAAAACCCTTTAGTACCATGCCATCTGAAAATTTCTAATTACTCATTGGAGATTATCCATTTCCTGTCGCCAACATCAATTTTGTCTTATTTTATTACAATTTAAGAATAAGAATAAATTTATTATATTTTAACCGGGGACAATTTGCCTGAAAATTGTGCAACTTTTATCAGGGTTTGGCAGGATGTTCCCGTTCTTGTCATTGTCAGCATGCTCGCTTACTTTTGTTTTCTAGAGCAGCTTTTGGTAAGATTAGCACCTTCTAGATACAGGTCTTTCAAGCCTACCAATGTTCCTGATATCAGTCTCTGTTGGCAGGTTACAAAGATGGGCTCTGGTGCAATTGCCATATCTTTGCCTTTTTCCTGTATATTGGGTCTGCTTGCATCTATGACATCAACAACTATGGGTAAGCTAAAATTTATATTTATGTAGTCAGAAATTGTTTTGGGAGCATGAATTTAATCATCTTTGGTGTACTACTAATCTCTCTGCAATTTGTGTTTAGTAAGGAGAAGATATGCCTGGTTGTATGCAACTATTCAGTTTGCATTGGTTGTTCTCTTTGCGCATGTTTTCTACACGCTGGTAAAAGATGCTCTGCTCCAAATCATTATTTTTTATCTTTCCGAGGTTCCTTCTGATGCCAAATGTTTCCTTATATTTTGCATTGGAGCTGCAGCTTAAAGTGCAGGCCGTTCTATCAGTTCTCCTTGCCACTCTGGCTGGGTTTGGAGGTGCAATGACTGGGACCTCTGTTATTCTCGAGTTTTTAAAATGGAGGAGGAGGTGGGATGCGCGGCCAAATCAGCGACAGGGTTCTCAGGATCTGACATCGCCTGAAACTTCACTTACACCTCAAACAGAAGCCAACCCCCATGAAGCTGAAATTGGGAACTCGGGAATTGAGCGCGGAAGTTGATTTGTGCATTCATGCCATTAGCAGTAGCAGAACAAGAAAATGATCCAGCTTGTATATAAAACAAATTGTATGTAGATCTCAGACAACATTTTATTTTTTGATTCCTCTCTAAACAGTACAGTATCTTCAGGATCCTATTGTGTTAACCCAGTTTTGGAGAGGAGGTTTTACAGTCCCAATTCGTATATTTGGTCTAATATTTGACTTTATAGGTTAATATTTCTGCAGAAGATGGGGATAAATCATTTTGTTTCTTCTCCGGTTCATAGATTTCTAAATTGTTAAGAGAGCACTATAACCATAAGCATTTTGTTCTTGTTTCCTCAAGAATCAGATTACAACAATTATTTTACACATACAATTATTTTTTAGCATTTTGTTTAATAAAAGATCTATCATATTTTACTTTATGTTCCAATATCTCAGCTACTGTTGTCTGTCTCAAAACACTCTATATTTTGGTTCTTCCAATTTTCCAAGTATTTTTTTTCAGGTTGATCAAGGAAATGAATTTATAATTCAGCTTGCATATAATAAAATTAAAAAAGGTCTTCCAAGCAAAGCCAATTACGTATGGGGCTGCGTTCACAAACAAGAGCAGCCTCTTGATTTCAAGAGTGACTCGTCTGTATACATCCATCATACTTGTGAATTGTTGTATAATAATTTTTTTGTCTGATTAATCTCTAGCTTACTAGTATTTAATGATTTATGGGCGAAATTTAAAACCATGACGAAGATTTTAGACAGATTATGACAATAAATATGCAATTGAATATACATTCAATGCACTCCAATTATGAAACTCATCTCTAGCAGAAAAAAGAAACGATCACAGAAGAACTCTGTAAATTACAAATTTCAATGAAACAACTTCCATTATTCTCATCAGTCATACAATCTCTCCTACGGACAGCCTTTCGTACTTAAAAGGTGGTGACACTATCTTCTCATGCTAACAATGGCATTTTTGTCCCTGAAATAATGATACTCTCTCTTGGTTAATCTCCCAGCATAATAATCATGTCGACGAAGCGTCCCTCCTGAGTAAAACCAACAGAAATGAAACTCCACAAAAAAAACTTTGGCTTTGCCTCTTCCTCAAATCTAATAACTATTTGGTCTAACTTCTTAGTTCTAACTAGAACTGCCAACTTTTCCAGACAACAAAGGTTTCTCCTTCAAACTGGTACTCAACAGAGTTTCAGAGTTGCCTGATTGGTTTTCGGCAAAGCCAGGTCTCATCCAGATTTTTATGTGCCCCTCTCGGCAGACAGTAAGGACAGATTCTCGAGTAAATTTCAAACCAGAGAGGGGTTCAGTGTGAACGCGGTGTGCAGCCAACGGGGAAAGCTTGGGAACGTCTCGCATGCTCGGAGCGGGTTGTAGAGTACCCACAGGGCAAGCATTATCCCAGTGGGATGACTGACTTCCGGTGCTGAAAGTGGGGGAGCCTCCAGAAGGGCGGCGAAGTGGCACTACTATCTCGTCTGTTTCTAGGTCCCACAAAAGCAATTGTGTGTCCTTCATAACATTAAGTTGTGAGAAGGTAAAACATATAGACATCAAATTATGCAATTTATATGGAAGAAGAAGAAGCAGCCGGTCAAATTAAAAAATGTGAATATGAAACTAAACAGAAAATTGTCTAATGACCATATGTAATTTGAAACTGCAATAGAGATGTCACAAATAAAATATAAGGTGAGACCTCCATGCAGGATGTACGTCACACTGTCAAAGTAGGGCTGGTACACGACCCCAAATTTATTTAAGCGTACACACAACACAAGTTTGCCTAGTTTTGCCAATCTCCTCGCCTAATATAACTTTGCCTAGTTTGCCCAATCCTGGTACCTATATAAGTTTTCCTGCTTTTACCAATCACGGCACCATGTTTAACCAGATCCTATCGTGGCTAAACTCAAAAGGACACAATCTTGATCACCAAATATGGCCCACAAACTGAGTGGTCTGCACTCACAATCCAGAATTAGGTTGCCCATTGATCCTGACTGAGCCATGCTATCATCTCCAACTAGACCAGAAAGATGAGCCGAATACCAGGGTCAATGAAAATGAGAGAGTGGTTTTCGTTTCTTTATTTTGTTCTACCTTTTCAGAAGATTTTTCTATAAATAATAATCATACTCTCTAACCAAAAAAAATTATCATATTGCTCAAGAACACCAAACAGGAGAAATAGCTCAACAACAAGCTTTAAGCCACATTTCTCCTCAATGCCTAAAAGCACATGCCTACGGATATATAATAAAAAAATTTAATTCTTCAAGTTATCCTAAAAGTTGAGAACCATATAGTAAGTTAAAACAACAGACGGAATATTGAACTCAACACCACACTAGAATAATTTGTAATCTCTAACTGCAATGTACACTTTTGAAAAAATCACTTGTTGATCTTCAATAATCCCCCTTTCTACATAGTACTACACAAACTTAGCATTCTTCAAAATCTTCATCTTGCTAACCTACGTCATGCTCAGTGCCCGAAGAGTGGTCTGAAAGTATTCCAATTACTCGTACTATACTACTCACAGTCTCCATGCCCAATCAGTTGTCATAGTTTGGCACCAACAATCATACTCAGACACAACTAGATGTATAGTAGACACATACCACTGGCACCTATACAGGAGATAAAACTACCACTAAGCATTATCACATTAATAAGTGAAGTTCTAGGTGTCACTTGCTCCAACTAGCCAGACCGAAGGAAGTAAAACATTTATGCCACATTTGCACAATAAATGACAAGGGCCAATCAAGAATAGTAAACATCTGGAAGAAAAAAGTTCATGAAAATGCATCAATAGAAAATGAAATTTACCATAAACCATATTCGACAATAATTTATGACTTAAATAATATACCTGACCAACAGAACCGAACCGGTACATGACATTTTCCCCTACGCCATCTGAATTTGGAGATGACCAATATGAATCAAAAGCCACTCCACTGACCTGCGACACTCCAGTAAAAATATGTGTAAGAAGTCCATGATTCTTGAACAATAAACTACGAAACATCATTTAACAGTTGAGACATACCCACGAGTTGTGTCCCTCCCCCCATGCTACAACCCTCCGGTCTTCCATACTCCAAACTTGAACTAGATCATCTTCACCTCCAGTCAAAATGTATTTTCCATCCATGCTGTTGAGTTGCATTTTTCATCAATTATATTATTCTCTTGTAATAAGGTTTAATATTTATCTTTCAAAAATACACATTGAAGAGAGTATTTTTCTCTAAAAAGAAAGAACATACTAAGAACAGAAAAATATTGAATAAAACAATAATCTCTTGTGAACTGAAAACCAATAAAGTTTCTCACCTCCAAGCGCAACATAATAAAGCACCATAATAGCTTTTGCCTCCGCATATAAGTTGTTCATTTTTGTAGTCAAATACCCGTAGATAACCTAAATTCGTTAATTAATCTCGGATATGTATGTCACTTACAAATATGAACAAAACAAGAAGACAAACAGCTGTAAGATACAAAAGAGTCAGATTGAGGCAATACCATCCCTTCCAACAGTTGCAATATGAACCCCATCTGTTGAGAAAGCAATGCTATTAATTGAACCTTGGCAAATATGCCATCTTGCAATGGGGTTCTGCATAAAACAACAGGAACTGTCAGGAAGTTAACTTACAGATGGTATTACCGTCTTCATGTATCATCATTTGCTTCTTCCTTTTTTCCAAAGTGAATGAGTAAACCACATGAATTCCATTTTTCCAGATTTGTTCTATTACACATCTCCTCTAATACTATTTTTTGAAGTCAGTTTTAACTGCTTCATTCCATGTTAGTTTTGGTCGGTCTCGCTATCTCTTACCTTCTATGCAGACTAATCTCAACAACCTATGTTTTATGTATCCATAGCACCTAAGTCTATTTTCTCTTATTTTGTCCCTAATAAGCATTATTCCTAACATTTTGATTAGTAAATCTCTCCTTTTTAGTCACTCCTATCATCCACCTCAACATACTCATTTCAATTACATGAATGCATTGTTCTTGTTTCTTTTTCAACACCAAACACTCTGCACTTATAGATAGTTGGCCTAATGACAATCCTATAAAAATTTCCCTTTAATTTGTTTGGCATTTTCTATCACGTAGGATACTACTAGCTTGTCTCCATTTGGTCTATCCTACTCCAATCCGACTTTCTAAGCATCAAAAATAATGATGTTGAAAAACCCCATGGTCTTAGATTGCTATTGTTATATCATTACTTTACAAATATTTATTAAATTTATATTCCATATATATTATTTTAGTCTCACTAATTTTTAACCTTCTGTTTCTAATGCATTTCTCAAAGTTTCTAATTTTTGTTCCCAACCCTTCTTTAGAAGTGTCCAACACCACTATGTCATCGGCAAACAACATGCACCATGATAACATTAAAGATTCAAATCCTCCCATCTTTATAGTTATTACATGACTAACACTCAAACCATTTCAACCCAATAAATACAAAGAATAGAATTCAGTGAAGTTGTCAAAGATTTCCATGCACATTCACCTTCCGAAACTAAGAAACACACAATAACGGAATATAAAATTATTTAAGAAGATTTAATTATGGAACATACTTTAAACTCCATGATCTAATGGGAAGCATACCCACAATAACAACACAAAAAGCCTTTTTCCCACAATTCTCAAAATTAGTATTCATTGAATTCTAGGTTTATGTTTAACTTCTTGTTGCTAGCTTCACAGAAACACAAGCACATGGCCATCCAAGGATATCATCAGCCTAGTCAAATGGCAGTTGCAAAAAACAGAACTCGGCTATGTCAGTGCAGGGAGGTCACAATGTCCCAATACAATAACCCAGCAAAAAAAATAGAAGCGCATAAACTCAATAGAACTGTAACAAACCAGTTCACCTTTAAACCATATGTAGAGTATCATAATCTCACAATAATCGTTTTTGTATCAATCCAAAGCCCAAAAAAGGTTTTATAAGATTAATCTAATGTCAACTCAACTTCCAAAGAAGTCAGAATAGGCTCAACCATATCATAAATATTGCTGGTGCCAAGGACAAGTTATGCAACCGTAAACACTAATATCAAGCATTTTTTTTTTTCCTGGGTAAATACTAATATCAAGCATTGCCAAAATACTTTCAGACATCTCAATGAATCATCGGAGAGCCTCGATACTGCATAACAAGATTTCATGTTGCAATTTGTAAGTGTCTGTACATCTGGAGATTTTCTCTAAACAACCTTGATTTAAATAATATTCCAATCAGCATGATGCAATGGGAGCCATATCCCCACATTTCTTAATTATAATCATTGTTAAAGGGTAAATTCCATTTTGACCCATAAACTTTGGGTTGCATTTGAGTTCTACCTTAAATACATATGAGGCTGATGCAGAAAATCATATGTGGGTCATTCTAACTGATGAAGATGATATTGACATCAATTTCAAAAATTAGTTCACTTTGTAACAAATTTTCAACACACTCAACTCAATTAAACTCACCAAACACTTAACTGCAACTACTTCTGTCAGCAACATCAATCCTTTCTTCAAACTACTCTATGTATAGTCGATAGCCTCTCTACATCAATCCTTTCTTCAAACTACTCTATGTAGAATCAATTGACTTGAATAAGACTGAGGCAACCGTTTCATTTGTCATGACCTCAAATTTTATTTTTGGCCTTCCTCTAGTCAAAGGCACGCCGTTTCCTTTGTCACAACTTCAAAACATTATTTTTCACCTTCTGCCAATCCTTTTGTGGCCTTCAAATTTGATAATGTACTCATTCATATTGGTGCATTAATTGGTCTAGATTGCAAATGGACGAGTCATCTTAAGGCAACTTCCTTCATCCCACCTTCGATCCTTCTTCATTTTGCAACATTCTACTCCACTTTTAAAACTTCAACAAGAGCATCTATGTACTACTTTAGCACCAAAATATGTATCAGACCCACAACTAATTAATTCCACTGAGTAGATTGTGTATCAAAAGTTATTCATATTAAATTTTACCTTTTGCCATTTTGATGGAGTTCCGTGATAGAAAAGATTTGTCGAACAAGAAAATTACAACTTAGATAAATAAATTGAGCCGATAAATTTAAGTTACGCAATCTAAATTTAAAAATGAAAAAAGTGAAAGCAATATCTCATCATGTCACTGCCAAAAATTTAAAAATAATAATTACAAGTATCAGGAGTTCACTAGATGCCCACAACAACAAAAAGAGGCACAGGAAATGGATTAGTTGTTTGGTTGTTCTAAAAATTCAGGTGTAGCATGATTGGTCCAACAATTTAATCACGTTGTGATGAAAGGTAAAAGAATGTTCTACAAAGTAACAAATTATGGTTAATTAATCTTTTAAATATTGAATAATCAAATCAAACTAATAGTTCTATGGTGCATTACCCAGGACTACCTAAATAGGGAGTATATACTATCGTTCTTATATTTTTTTACCAGCTAATGTGGGTGACATTACAATGAGTACATTGACCAAAAGTACTGGCATCTTTATCATATGGATAAATCAGCAGCAATTTAAGTATTATGACATATTGTCTAATGAGTCCCCATTAGTGGATTAGTCTATTGAATCATCCAAATTCACGAATTTAGCCTATCAATGTATAGTATGAGATTTTAATGGAGTTAACAATCAGTTGACTCACCAAATTGCAGTCCAAATCTTTTCTGAAAGCTGATATTGAGGGCACAAACTAATTAATTGAGAAAATATTGGAGTTTAAATTTAAAAGAAAAAAAAATTGGGGACAATTATTATATACGACTCCAGGAGTAGTTTAGGTATGCCAAAAATTACCCAAGTTCGAAGATTTTAATTTCACCCAAAAATATTCAATAGATTAAAAGAATGTTTTCAAAGAAATATAAAATATAATGATTGATCCTGCTGTACGAAATCAGAAAATTCAAGAAAAAAGATTCAGATATGAACCTATTAATTGTGAAAATTGCCAAAATAGTCAATTTAAAATATCAAAAAGCCATATGAATATAATATGCAGAATTCTGATTATGTTTACTGATGGCACACTAAAGAAAGAGATACTACTATAACGCATATCAAAGCCTCAATGTTTAGTTAAATGTTTTAAAATTTTAGGGTTGCAAGAAGAGCTAGATGCTAAGTTGAGGAAAACAAAGTGTAACTGAGTTGAAGTTAACCCATTTCTGCATAAAATATAGGCACATGCATAAGTATGCAACACACAAAGGGGGCAGTGACCATATGCACAACTCAGCAGGGATTTAATAGCATCAGTAAAAATATCATTCTTGTTTACAAAATTTTCTTGACAGAATTTCTAATTACCAGACGAAAAATAAAGAAAAGTTTCAGGAAGCATTTATCCATAAAAGAGAAACATATCCAAAACAGTTTCAGAACCATATATGCATTAATCAGTACCTTACTGTATCGTGCGTGTGCAACGGAAAACTGAGCCTGGTCCTTTATAACTGGGAATGAAGGATCACCAGAACCATCTTTGCTCTGGAATTTGAAGTTATATATACAACAGGTAAGTCAGTTCACATAGCTTTATATATAGAAGAAGGAAGAGAGTAAAAAGTGTTAAAATAATATCTAAAGCTTGCCTTTTCATACACGTACAAGTTTCCATCTGCATGGGCAATAACAAAAGCGCCATCACCATTAGGCACCCATGCAATACTAGTACAACGGCTGTTAAAAAGCAAACAGTTTATTGAATCAGGCAAGTAACCAGAAATACAGTTCTACATAGATCTCAATGTATGCCATATTGAATAAGGGTTGTCATTTACAGAAGCTTACATATGTCAGGATATCTCATATGAACTTATCGTGCACAATTCTCAGAGTTCCCATAAAGAATAATCACTACTAATAAAAAATATACAGGGTATAAGTTTAAAAAAAAAAAAAAAAAAAAAAAAAAAAAGAAAAGAAAAGAATTCCTTTTTTTGGATACTAAACTAGAATAAAGAGTTGAGATTTTTGACAATGCCAAGAAGATTTTAAGAAGGCCTGCAAAATTTGAGAATAAACTTTCAGGTGCATATGAATTTTGTTTGTACCGTATAATGCAGATCTAATGCAGATTTAATAGATCCAGAATGCAATAAAATAGATGATGGTAGAATTATATGATCCATATGTGGTAGGTATAGTCTATAGTCAATTTTTATCCATCTTCCAACAACCAGAAGTGATTCTTGTAATAGGAGAAAACTTTTCCTTGTCTAATATTTTAACACTCCATTCTCAACAACCTGTTGTTGTCTATTTTAAAACTACACGTACCATAACTTTGAAACAGTGTTGCATCAACGTTAGAGACAAAAGTTCCCCAAGTTGTTGTCTATTTTAAAACTACAAGTACCATATTTGCTCCATAGGGGTCTTCTATAAGCCTTCCAATGTCAGCTTACATAACTGTCTCCGTAAAAGAGTATAGACAACAATCGTGACATGGACACCAATTATTGATGGGATTATAGTAGGTAAGCAGTTTTGTCTTATGATCAAAAATGTTTACCTAGAACTAAGTTAATATTTATATCTAATATTTGCTCATAAAGAATAACCAAATGATGATTTTTTGCTAAACATACTCTGCTATATGACGATTCATCAACAATTGCCATTCTTTCTCATGTCTAAACTCAACCTGGACGGAGATGGCAAGGTAATGTTCAAACACTTTTAATATTCGCAAGTAAATAACATGGATGAAACCAAGTTCTGATTTTTCAAGAAAGAGACAACTGCAAGGACTACTAGAATCATAGTAAAAAGTTGCTGTTACTTCAAACAATATAGACACCAAAAATGAGGTATTATCAGCAAACTTCATTTAACTCTAGAATCTTGGTGCTAAATGCATTTTGAAGAAAGTACTGAAATAAATTTGGGAAAGAGTCTTGAGATAAGAAACACACAGCCAGTTGATCTAATGATCAGATCTATTGCAAGAATATGATCCGAATTAATCCTGAGCAAGCACCACATAATCATCAAACTTTGGTCACTAGGTACAACATCGATCACCCATGAAGTTTAAACCAGTTCATAGAAATTGAAAATTTTGATCTCTGCATAATAAACTTCTGATTATTAATAATCAATTCTAGGTTTTCTCTCAAATTATGACCTCGGTGAATTCTTGAAACACAGCAAAGTAACAGTATTGCAACGAGACCTTATATCAGGACCAACATCATGCTCCTTAGAGGCTCAACCAGAGAAAGATTTAAATTATTTAGAAATGATTATATAAGTAGTAAGCACTGATAAAAATGTTACATTCACTGTAAGGGTAAACATAATTAAGTTAAGAACTTGCCTATTATTAACACAACCATCTTTGTTGTAATGCTGAGCGCCAACAAGCTTCTTTCCGACATCGTGTAATTGATGTCTTAGTGAGGCTGAATAGACTACAAAACAAACCGAACTATAATTCAGGAAATTTAAAAATTCCTTGTTGGAATTCCAATTTGAATACAATAAAAGAAAAATTACCATCTCCAGAATTCAACCCAATAACCAAATCGTGCCCATCCTTAGCTTCAGGATCAAATGCATGGCAAACAGGATTGGAATTACTAAAATGTATAGATTTTACAGGATCCTACATTAAAATAAACCTCTCAAAATCTGATACAACAGAATACACCCATAATTCAGAAAAAACTTTGCACATGAACACCAAACTACCTTATCTTGAGAATTCAAATCACTAATGAAAATTGTGTCACCAACATTGAATATCAAGTAAGTCCCTTTGCTATCAAAATTTGAAGTGCCCATCAAATTATTCGAACTTGAAGCCCCCAAGGATCCAACTCTACTAGCCCCAGTTACAGACCTACTGCCAACATTCCCTCCTACAAAACTAATTGCCCGACTACCATTCCCACCACCTAAGAACCTTGCCGCTGCTGATCTCACACCACTGCTTACACCAATGCTCGACGATGATGTTGGCAGCGGTGCCATTGCAGGCTTATCCTTGAGACAAGCTATGGTTACCTGACAATCAGAATTAACCAAAAAGAAATTTATATTTGATTTTTATAGTTCATTTTGCAAAATGGGTATTGACAAAAGAAAAAAGAAAGAAAGAAAGAAAAACCTACAAATTAACAACCTGATACCAAAAGAACCAATAATAGTGAATGATACCCCAAAAATTGAAACGTGCTACCGAAAGGGTCAGAGTTCAAAAATGCTTAAAATGTGCTGCAACAACTGACTTTGAAGGATACGTTAATATCAATAATTTCTTTTTGGCAAATGGGAACTAGAAAAACCCAAGACTAGCCCAAGAAAAGTGCAATATAAAGATGGCAAAATTGAGGGCAAAACTTGAGTTTAAAGATGGTTAGACTTCCAATATTGATTCCAGAAAAGTGCTTACCGAAGAATAACCCAAAATAATAATTAGCAGAGACTATGAAATTAACTTGGAAAAAATGATTTTGAAAAGTGAACCTCGATGCCCAACAAATTACCTGAGACGAAAACAATCAAGATTAATAAAAAATATCTCAACCCAATTCAAATTATGGACTTTAATTAGAAGGGTTGATTTCAATAATGGGTTTTGTTCAAGAATTATATTAGAAAAGATTGATTGAGTACCTGAGTGACGGTCTTTCCATGGGCATAATGGAGGAGTCCTGCAGGGTGAGTCTTTTCGTAATGGAGCTTGTAACGGCCTTCTGCAGTTTTGAAATAAGTTTTGAGACCAGGCGATTGTGCGTTGTTGGCCGCCGATGACGACGAAGACATCACGGTGTTGGTAGTATTGATCATGATTGCGAAATTATTTTAATTTATATGTGTGTGTGTGTATATATATATATATAAATGCTTCAGAGAGTCATGTGAATACGTACATAATTAGGGTTTTTCAGAGAATTCTTGAAACGAGGGTCTTATAGTCTGTAAATTAAGGTCTGTTTGTGTCTCCGTCTCTTTCACTCTTCTTTTCTCTTCTTTTTCTTTCTCTCTGTGTTGTTTCTACGAATGGCTACTTTAGTTATGGATCAAGGGTTTGGACTATGGATCAAGTTGTTTTGTGGGCTTATCAGACCGTTGTTGAATACTCAATTCAACTACTGATGATTGACTTTCCAATGCTTAGTAGACATCGTGGTCGAATGGGGACAACTCTCTCTCTATTGCGGCGTTGAGATCCATTCAAACTTTAATAAGAGGCTTGTTTTATACATATGAACAACTATTGTATATTTTTGGTGAAAGCTATGTTCACTCATTTGTTTCTAATCAAATTCAATAAAAAAGTGATCGGATATAAATGAGTAATTTTATAATATTATTTAACAATTTAAGTTTTTGGGTAAACGAATAAGCATTCACCTGTTACAATTGATATCAGAGTCAGATCCAATTCTTGATCCAGTGTCACGTCAACTACCCAACCCGAAAGGCGTCCGAGTACCCCAACCTGGGCAAGGGCGGAGCTAAGGGTGGCCCAATAGTGGCCATGCCCTCAAACTAACTTAATTTTTTTTTTATTTATATCCTTAAATGTTAATTTATTTGTAGATTTTGTCTTAAAATTCATTAAAAATTTCAATTGGCCCCCCATTTTTTTCCAAAACACAGAGAATTTGAAAATAAATTTAGTTGGTGTCTCTTTGCAATTTAGTTATTTTTCAACTTTGACTCTTTTAAATATATTTTAACAATCTCAAATTTAAGAATATTTATAATTAATGTATAAATTTTTTTAACTTTAATTACATAGTACAAACTCAGCCCCCAACCTCAAATTTTTTGCTCCGCCCTTGATCCCAGGTATGCAGGGTGACCCGAGTTGCAACGGGAACATTGCAAGTTTGGGTAGGGAAGAATGTAATAAGGTTCATTTATTCTATATCAGATCTGGATAGAAATACTTATGTTGTTATTGGAACAATCTACTCACCCTCATTAAATTACCTTTTATAAAATAAAATAAAAAACACTATTTAAAAAGGAAATCATTCCTTACCAAAAATTTCGCACCTATAGATGAAGGGGTGTTTCACTTTTAATTGACTTCCATATTTAAAGGTTTTATCAATAATCTCGGCATGTAAAAAAAATAAAAAAGAAGAAATTAGGCTTTTCCAACTTCTTAAAAATTTCTCTCCGTTTATTTTATTTTTTATATTTTAAAAATAGAAAAATAGGAAGGCGGTCTACCTCAGTACTCTGTATAAGAAGGCGGTTCCCCTCAGTAATCTATATAAGAAGGCCGTGTCTTCACTCTCACTTCAAAACCCTACCCCTCCTAAATTTTCCTCCCAATTCTCATCATCTCCATCAAGCTTGTGTGTGATGGAGAAGCAGCCGAAGAAGAAAGGTATGGGACGCCGTAAGATCGAAATCCGGAAAATAGAAAAGAAAAGTCGTTTAATGACTTCCTTCTCCAAGCGCAGGGGCGGCCTGTTCAAAAAAGCGGCTGAATTGAGCACCTTGTGCGGTGCCAATGTTGCCGTGATCGTCAAGTGCCCTGCCGCAGAGAAGATTCATGCCTTTGGAACCCCGTCCGTCGATGCCGTCCTCAACCGCTTCCTCTCCCAAAATCCTCCTGAAGAAAAAGTGTTGGAAGAGTGTGAAAGGAATTGGTGGGACGTGGAGATTGATGAACTAGGGTTGAATGAGCTTGAGGACTACAAGACTGCATTGGAAGTGCTGAGGAACAACGTGGTGGCTCGAGCCGACGAGATGGCCATGGCGAGTGCGAGTGCGAGTGCGAGTGCGAGTGCGAGTGCGAGTGCTTGTTCGTCTAATTTGATGGAGTCCGATCTTTTTGAAGATATTCCAGAATTAGACTTCACCGACTTCGACTTTGATTTTGATTTTGATTTTACTAGTGAGTTTATTAATGAACATCAAAATTAAACTAGGGTTTTTTGTTCAATAATTACAGTATTAAGGTTTGTGTATAGAGTACAGTATGTGATTGATTTTGATGTATTAATTGATCGATTTGTATAAAATGCTATAATCAAGGGAGTTTAGTCTTCTGTTTAATCCCCTTTTTTGACTGTGTTCTCAGTTCCATGTTGTTTTTTATCCCAATGCTTGTGGATTGCGTGGAGGCACATGTGTTTTATATTAAGTGTCTATGAATATAGTTTGATCACATATAATTAGATTAGGTAGGGTAAGGGTAAGCTTTTTTGAGTTGAGATTAAGGAACAGCCACCTGATCTCAGAATTTTGAAGGGATTTCACTAACAATGTGAACCATGGCAAGTGAGTGTGGCACAATATCCATATCTTATGTCTTTCTGATTACTGAGGGAGTTCATTGCTAGCACCAGTCCTAGTCCTTGTGTTTACACTTTACAAAAATAGTGGCTTTCAGGTTTAGAATTTAGTTAGTCCTGGGCAGAAACATATATAATTTTCTGTCTACTTTTTATAGTTTCTTATATCTCATTGATTTAAACTGCAACTTTTTCCTGTCACATAATTTTTCATAGGCTGGAATTCTTAATTCTGTTGTTTATACACCTCTGTCTGGTTGGGTTGAGAATAGATAGCTTACATCCATCTCATTATTCGGAACACCAACATTTGTGTCATTTGCATCAGAATGTGAACTTTAGGGAGAATGGCTGACCACCTCTCTAAGCAACATCCTTTGGTGGCTGAAACAATGTCAGAGAAGCATTAGGATGCATAATACCATTCCATCTTATATAGTATATACAGTACTAATGTTTCATTACTTTGTCATATTTGTTTTAAATTAATAAATATTATTTTATACTTCACATGACTATGAAAAAAAGTTCACACTTATTTTTTTTTTCAAGATTAGAATATTGGAAAGTGTCAGTCAAAAGTTTTAGAAAGTGTAGGTCCAAGAATTTCTTCTCACCTCACTCAATAGAATACAATGGAAACTCTTTCCCGGTGAAAAAATACAGACTCCAATACTTTGTTCGTGCTTCTTTACAGTGTTCGTGCTTTTTTACAATCTTCAATAGAAGAGATTAGGGAAGCGAAATGGAATAATATGGAAGTTTTAAATTAAATATTATTTTAAATTATAAAAAATTTAAATTACTGTATTATCCTTTATAAATTATAGTATTGTAGATATTATTGGATATAATGGTAAACATAATTTAAAACTTTATATTTCATTCTCTCCTAACAAGCATAATAAATTATAAGCTTATTCGATCATTCCATTCTCTTCCATTTAAGAGAACAAAAAAAAATACATAATTTCTTCCCTAAAAATATTTCATCCATCTTTTCTTCTCTCCCTTCTATTCAGATTTTTTCTTTCCTACAGAACAAAGAACAAAGGAACCTTCCTCTCACTTTTTTCTATCCCTTCTATTCAGATTTTTTCTTTCCTACAGAACAAAGAACAAAGGAACCTTCCTCTCCCTTTTTTCTATATATATTTTCTTGGGGGTGCAAGTAGGTATTTTTTGGGTTGCTGGTTCAATTGGGCCGCTTGTCTCATGTGGCGCTCAACCCATTCATCTAGTAGGAATCTGTGTTTGATCTGAGCCCATGACTCTGGCACGTGTCGCTTCATAATTTAAGATACTAACTGTACAAGTGTCGTGCTCTTATTGGCAGGAAAACTTGTCCCTCCACAGGAAGTGCAGAGAAGTTTCTTAAATTGTGTGCCCAAAAGTAGTAAAATTTATTTTTTTATTTATTTTAAATTATGAACACATAAATGAAGTATTGGACAAATGTTGGAGGAGTATACACCTTCGTGAAATGTCCGTGCTTTCAAAACACTTCCCTCATGCACACATCTGTGTTCCAACAGAGTTGGGCCTTTCAGAATCAAGAGAGTGAATCTATATGTACATATTTTTTTGGTCTCCAACCTTGAGGAGATGGACTTGGGAACTAAGAGCAGCTCCATTAGTGCAGCCTTTGCGAATGGCTCACTTTTTGTGTGCCTATTTTTTTTTTTTTTTTTAGGTCCAGAACACTGCTTCTAAAGGCATGTTTGGCTGAAATAAAAGCTAAAATTGAAATTTTTGGCTTATTTTAATCTCTCTTTTTTAAAAAAAAATAATTGAACTAAAGTTAAGGCACTGTTTGGCTGACACAAACAGTGCCTTAAAGGCTTTTTTGGGTAAAAAAAGAAGTTTAAATTTTTTTTTTTTAAAAAAAGTGATTTTTTTCCCTTTTCAAAATTTTCAATGTTCCTATTGACATTATAACTGTTTTATGTACTGTTTGACTAATCCAAACAGTGTCTTAACGGCTATATTGGCTAACCAAACAAATTTTTTTTTTTTTTTATTTGTTTTCCCTAACAAATTGAAATTTATTTTAAAATACGATTTTTTTATTAAAAAAAATTGTGTCTTTGTTTTCACTATAAATTAATAAATCAAATGATATTAGATATTGTATTGTTTACAAAATTTCATACATATTGGCTAAATAATTTAATCAACAAACAACCAACAGGCTGTGACCTAGCGGTACTAGACTCCTACGTCCCAAAGGGAGGTCAAGAGTTTGAACTTCAGTGGAGGCAGTGTGTGTGAGTCCCAACTAGGAAAAAAAAAAAACAAAACAAAACAAAACAAAACAAAACAAAACAAACAAACAAACAATTTAATTATTTATTTCAAAATAAATCATTACACAATAAATATTTCATTACATAAACTTCATAACAATTTAAAAATAAAATAATGCAACATAAATTAAATACGTTCTTCACAAAAGCGGTTCCACAAAAAATAATTTTTATTTTAAATATTAAAATATTAATATTTTTGGATAGCGAAGATGCATCATTGGAATACATGCGATAGCTAAAATTTGAAAATTCTAAAACGCTGACGTGGGCATGGAAAATGGTGACGTGACTATTGAAAAATGCTGATGTGGCAAATTCGGAGAGCCTAAATCCGAAGAGCCCATTGAAAATGCTCTGAGGAGATCCAAATATACTCTTTTGATATTTTATTGGGCCCAACCCAATTCCCATTGTGTGGATTGTCTACCAAGAAACGCATGGGAGAAGGCCAATTCATATGCTTTCTAATCTTTGGAGTGTTTTACTTAAAAATAAGGGAAATACTTTTTCATGCCTTAATATTAGAAAGGATTTTCTTAAGGTATCATTGAAGTATTTTCTTAAAATTTCGGAAATATCAATTAGATCACGCTTTGGAAAACGGGGCATGACAATTTATTAAAATGCATTTCATGGTGTGTTGCTAGAGTTTTGACTCGAAACTGTTATACTGAAAATTTTATATTATAATTGGATTTTGATTAATTGCGCATCAACAAAGTTATATGAAGTTGAAATTGAGAGTTGGAGTCACTTCGGTGAAAAGGTTAGTCGATGGTTTGACCACCATTTGATCGGAGAGGGTTGGGGTCACGGTGGCCACTCTAGGAGCGGATGCACTGCAAAATCCTTGACCTGCAAATATTGAATCCGCCAAGATTGCGGGTGAGTTTCCCTCAAAAAAACGGCCATTTGCTTGGTAAAAACACCCAAAACCACATTGTATACCCCTTGTGGGCGTATTTGAGAGTTGGGGCCACTGGTGCGAAAGATTGGATAAAAGACTGGAATTTCTATTGAAAATGAGATATGAAAATTATGGACGGTTGTTGAATTATTTTAACAGGAATTACGGTTACTTCTCCCACAAATGTTAGCATTAATAATGACGTAAAGGGGTGCATATTTTTGTAAATAATGTGCAACTAGATTTTTCAACTACTACCGTTAAGACGTATGCAAATTTCAGAATAGTTTTCATTTGGGCATGAACATCCAGATTGACAGATTTTGGGGGCTGTGAATTGATTAAAATAGAATAAACCCATCTTTTTTGAAAGGAACACAAGTGAATCACAAGTTTCATATGTGATGTGAGGTAGGATGAGAATATATAAATTATGATGGACATTATGAAAATTTCAGTCTTGCTAAGTGGTTAGTTATAAAATCGTGGCCGAATTTTCTTTTAGCATAGATAGGGTTTTTTTTTTAAGAATTTCTTTTTCTAATGCATGTTCAAATAGATGTCTTCTTCGGTTTAGTCTTGATCTTCTATAAATCTTTTTCTTAACTTGTATCAATGAAATATGCCGGTTTAATATATATAAAAATCAAATACCTAATGGTGTTGGATGTTGTCTGTTAATCTTTCGGGGTATGCCCAGGGGCACTTGCCCCTGGCCCGCTCATTGTACATATAATATTTTTTTATATATGTTATATATATATATATATATATATATATATATATATATAGAATTTTTTATATAATGTCTTCCTAAATTATTAGTTTTAAAAATTTTCTTTTATTTTTTCCTAATTTACTCTTCAAATTCCTTAAAAAAAAAAAAAAAAAACTGTTAAAATTTTCTTATTAAATTAAATTTTAATTTTTTCCTTTTTAAGTTGTTATTTTTCTTTTTTCTTTTTTCTTATTTTTTTTCCCTTCTACTCTATACTAAAATCCTTGCTCCACCAGTCCACCCAGCTGCCAATTGTTTTGATAGAATGCCTCTGCATGAATATACTCATTTAGGTCATTTAGGTCTCTATGAAAAGGGCATAAACTGAGTTTAATGAGGGATATTGACAAACTTAAAACTTGATGAATTCAAGTATATGATGAGATCAAACTGGGTATTTAGAATTAGGAAAGATGATTGGCAATTTATTCAATGTTTTTCTAATTTCAGAGGCTTGTCCAAACATAAAGGCCAACATCATATGCTAAACATGATTTGAGATTATAAAAGCATGGATTTGAGATCAAAATTTATTGCATTAGCACCTGACAAACATGAATAAGTAAAAGAGTAATGTCCAATTTTCTTAGTTTAGAAAACAATTTTTAATTACTATAAAGCAAACTATTTTGTAGTTTTCCCAGCAAAGTAGATTTTTAAACTGAGAAAAGTTTTAAAATATTTTGTTATCATTCTCTCTTTTTCGAGAGTTACAAAAGAAAGGTTTCTGCACAAGTTAGACTATCTACATTTTTCAACTATAAAAATTAATAATTTCCATACATCCAGACAATGTGCGCCATTTTTTTTTTTGGTAATAGTGAGAGTGATCCCACCTCTCCATAATACAATTTTCAATGATCATGCCCCACAACCTCAATAGAAAATAAATTTAATTCATGTAACAACACTTTCTAATTTCATACGCATCTAGTTAGACCGATCAAAGCACTTTAATTAATGTTGCTTGGGGGCAAATGAGCTTCTTCTACTCGATTTATAGGTAAAAGGGACTTACAATAAATAACTGTGATTGCACTAGTGTCATCAATTTAACAGTTAAAAAAATTTAGAATTAAATTCTAAAATACTCCAAAGAGAATATTTATATCATGCTAGACAAATCTAAAGAGTTATATATAAGTATATACAACTCTACATAACTCTAAACAAGTGTAGAGAGTTGTAAAATATCCGTACTATGCAAACTATCCATATCATTGTCTGTAATGACATTAGGGATCTTGGTCTTGTTTTCTTCTTTCTTGTATAGAGCATTGTCAGACCTTGCTATAACCCTAGTTGTACAGAGAAGGTTATTTATGCTGTAATGGCCATTTAGCTGCGAATTAGAACTTTCAACACACCATAGAAGCAGTCAAATAATTAAGTTTAGCAATAACAATTAAGATATGCACCATGTATTTCTTAACAATATAGGTATGTCCAAAAACAAAACACAGAAAAAGTGACAGCTTATCACAACAACAATTACCATTAAAGGTGACCATGTTTTACATGAACACCATGGAGATGTTGTGTACTAAATGGTCATCTCACATGAAGTCCAAAAACCTTCTTGTTTCCAATCACAAGCATACTTAATTCAACATGTTATTGTAGATTATGTTGATTACAAAGGGACCCATGAGAAGAGGAAACTATTATAATTACCTGAACATCATCATTAAAGTGATCTTGCCCTTGTTTCAAGCACTTGAAGATGAAGCTTTCTTCATAAGGCTATTCCAAGCAACAATAGAAGGAAAAAAAAAAGAAGAAGACATGTGAATCATAACCACAAGACCACAATTGCCTACACTCAAATACCCAGCTGTGTTTTTCTTCCCTTGCTTAACAAAGCAGTATGAACTTTTAACATTATAAAATACTCTCTACCTTATGAAGAAAGATCTGTAGTACCTTAAAATGCACCTTTTACCTAACTGTCACAATCATTTCCCATTTCAATTCCCTCAATAAAAAGCCCATAATCCATCCTAACAGCTTCAGAAAACACACTAGTTGTTTCAAACACACTCCATACTGAAAAACATAGTCCAAGCAAAATGTTGAAGCCTCTTCTCTCACCACTCTCTCTTCTGGTGCTGTTCTTCTTCCTCCATTGCACCACGACTTTCGCTCAATCCCCTGCACAATCTCCGGCACCATCAGCTCCAACCAACATCACTTCAATCTTTGAGAAGGCCGGCCAATTTACTACTCTGATTCGGCTACTAAAAAGCACCCAGGTGGGTGATCAACTCAACACACAGCTGAAAAACTCGAACCAAGGCCTAACTATATTTGCACCAACTGATAATGCCTTTGCTAACCTAAAATCAGGCACTCTCAACTCACTCAGTGATCAGCAAAAAGTCCAGCTAATACAATTTCATATCCTCCCTTCTTTCCTCTCCATGTCTCAGTTCCAAACTGTTAGCAACCCAGTGCGTACACAGGCCGGTGATAGTCAGTCCCCACTAAATGTCACCACGTCAGGGAATCAAGTGAACATAACAACTGGGGTTGTCAATGCAGCAGTGGCCAACACAATATATACAGATACCAAGCTAGCTGTGTATCAGGTGGATCAGGTACTCCTTCCATTGGATCTTTTCGGGACTCCAGCACCGGCTCCATCAAAGCCCAGAAAGAAAGCTTCTGATGCTTCTTCAAGTTCTGATGATGGTGATAATTCTGCTGATTCTTCTCCTGCTATCTGTCTGAATCATGGCGGGCTAAATGTCATATTCTTTACAGTTTCAGTTACTGCAGCACTTCTTTTATGCTTATGAGTTTGAGAGTAACTGATGGTGATTGGATTTTTGTACTAATGCTGCTATGATCTTCATTAAATTAAATCATTTCCTTCAAATATAAACCTCTCTCTCTCTCTCTCTCTCTCTCTCTCTCTATATATATATATATATACATATCAAAAACAAAAACTTAGCCATCATCCACATAAGATTCTATTATTAACTAGTAATTTGAAGTAAAAGTTTTGCAAAGTGCAGAAATTCAAAGAGACCCCTGCACTGCAACATTTTTGAATTGAAACAGCTGGTGCTCAAAAGACAATTTGCAAAAATCCAGTTCCATATGATTGTTTTTAGTTGGCTATCATGAAAAGTTGAAACATATCATCTTCATCCTCTAATCCAAACTTCAATCACCAATTCCACAAAATAAAGGGGTAAGAAACAAATAATCACGTAATAGAACATGTTTGCTGACTGCATGTATCTGTTCAACAATAGAAGTTTTAAAGATAGGTTGGACTTGAACAGAAAATGCAATTCTTTAAAAAGTACAATCAAGATGAGAAAAAGTTTCATGTCAGCGCAATCAGCTACCCGAAAGTGACCCATTTGGTTTCTGATTCTGTCAAACAATTCATTAATATAAAACATTACCTACCCATACACTTGTTAATGGTTAAATGCCAGAGAATCTTTCCTTCATATGCTACCTTGTAGTAAACATAATACCACATAAAGTTCCAACTACTGGGCTAAGTTTACTTGCTTTCTCATTTGAAAATAAAATGAATTCAATTATCTAAACCAGATTGAATACATGGTCTGCTGGAGTACAGAATGCATCATAGAAAATTATATGAAACTGTAGATATAATCAAACGAGGGCTCATCTATCTCAGTCATTTCACCGTAAACAGCAAAACTTTCCCCCAAGGGAAGTACAATTTTGTTCTTAAAAACATCTTAAAAATGGCCAACCACCGCATACCCATTAGCAGTTAGTCACATAGGAGTTGGGCTACTCGAGGAAACAGCAGCACTTCATAACTTCTTTTGTAAAATAATCCCAAAGTACACGCATGTCAAAAATGGAATCCGCCGCCGCCGCCGCCGCCAGGAAACCCTCCGTCGAAGTGAAATGTGAACTGCTGTCCCCCTCCACCAAATGGATTAAATCCACCACCACCCATCCCCATACCCTCTTCAAGGTCTTCACCTCTGTCAAATCTGGTACGTTTTTCTTCATCCCCAAGAACCTGTAAATCACACGTGTGAGACTTGAAAATTACATGTCCTTGGGCAAATTTCCAAACAGAAGCAAAATGGTTCTAAGTGCAAAAAGTAAAGGACCAACAAAGTATATATCATGAATACGAAGTCACTTGTCAATATATGCTACTAGGTCCAAGAAATTATAAACATAAGCAAGAAATATGAACACCGGAGAAAAACAAAACACAATAGGATTTTAATCATACTGTATGTTGAGTTATTTGTAGGAAATTATTTTTGCGAGGTTTTAGTAGTTTAGTTGTTGGAATTGGTTTTGATTGAAGAAAGAGAGAAAAGAACAAAAATAAAATAAAATAAAGGTCCCAATGTCAGAAATGTAGGGAAAAGAAGAAACAAATGACCTCCAAAGCCATACTTATTTATCCAAATCTATAAAGATGATTGTAAAAGCAAATTTTGGTTTGCTGTTTGGTGGAAGAAAGCGCACTGTCAAAGGGTTTTAAATTTTGAACTTCCGCAGGAAATATTGGTTTGATGTGTGATGTTTTCATTAAAGTAAATCACAGGAACAATTAGAGAATAGAGAATGGTAAAAATGTTAATAAATATTTGCAGAAGAGATGAAAGCGACATATAGATACCTCAGATTTCATAATAGTACAAGAAGATAAATTATGATGAACAATGAATTAAAGACAAAAATTATGGCCCTCAAATAGCAAAACAGCCAATCAAAATTTGGAGCAGCCAAACTCAAAACACTAGTAAAGCTTTAGCTGAGTTGAGCTAAATTCAAAATAAGATGGATTTGTAGGGCACTTTTTTTTTTTTTTCACCGATTAGCATTATGATTCCACCAGAAGCCAAAATCACACTAGTATCATAGTATGGTCTCAAGATCATCCAATAATCAAAGAAGCTTTTGTCAACAGAAAGCAGAAAAACACATTTGCAGATTGAGAACCAAACACAGGAAGACAGTAATAAACAATAAATAAATAAAGACTGATTTTACTTAATCAACCTCATATGCAGCAGCAATTTCTCGGAATTTGGCCTCTGCTTCTTCTCTGTTGTCAACGTTCTTGTCTGGGTGCCACTGCAAAGCAAGCTTCTTGTAAGCCCGCTTAATCTCCGATATAGATGCAGTCTTTGAAACTCCCAAAATTTTGTACCAGTCCTTCCTTTTGCTCAACTTCAAAGATTTCTCAGCCCTCATCAATGCTTCACGAATATTCATATCCTGTTGTATAGGCATGTACAATTATTCGAACTTCACAAGTCTTGATACACAACAACTGAAACTTCAAAAGATAAAGCACTAAAATTGAAATCTAAATCATGTTATATGAGACTCACTTAAATACATGAATATAAGTTTTTCCACTAAATGCCACATATCATCTACTTGAGGTTTAATTGGCTGGTGATACTACGCCAGAAAAAAACATGGAATCGCCGCGGTACTAAAGACTTTCTTGAACAATATTTACAGGTGGAAATTAAATCGAAACCATATCAGGCTCACAAGTTAGTCTATCTTACAATTAAAAAAATACTAAAAGTTAAATGATTACCCAATCATGGGCATCTAAGTTGTTGCTGAAGCTCCAGTGAGCTGAGCCAAACCAAGTATGATGTGTTTGGCTCAGCTTGATATAATTTTTCCTTTGTTCAAGCACTGCTCAAGCTTGTTTTAACAAATCTACATCGGAGTTGGCATGAGAAATATAAAACCAGCTCAACATCAACTCAGGTCAGCTAGTCAAGACCATCACTAGTGCAGATTTCTCACTTTACCAAGCTTAACAAAAGAAACAGCTCCCTCCATGTTTTATAGTATGTTTAGTATCTTATCCGCAAGAATAGAAAGAGAATAAGAAGCCTGATAAGAGCCAAGTACATGCTTTATGCCATGCTTGGAGAAATTAAGTCTAGGCTTGCTTAACAAAAAAGTTTCAGACAGAGACTTGGACTTGCTCTTTTACAATTCAAACAAGCTGGAGTTGAGCTACGAGCTTTTTAATAATCCAATCTTGTGCAGATCATGAGTGACTCTACTCATATACAGCATGGTGATTATCAACCAGAAAGATAAGAGTCAAACATCCAGCCCATAAAATACCATCAATCAACATCCAAAAGTAATTTAATACTAACGATTTTAGAAAATACTGAATCATAAGGTTTATCAACTCCACACAGGGTCAAGGCAAGCCGTTCTTTTAGAATATAATTAATCAAAAAACAAAAGGTTACTAAAACCCCAATGCACAAGGGTAAGAAAGCACCATCGTAGTACAACAGATAGAAAAGGCAAAAGATAGATCAAAGATGCTCCTCAAAAAGAATGAGAACATTAAAAATCAGGTAAATCTCAATGCCATCAACCATATTTCTTCTGATAGAATTTATTTAACAGTGGAGTTCCAAACCAAAAACTTGTGTTGAGAGCTCATCATTCAAACCTGTAATTTTTATTCCATTGCCAACAATAACAGAAAGGAAAAAAACATCTATCAGAAAAGCTAATTCATATATACTTTTAGTATATGATAATCTCAACCTTCTGGATTCAAAGAGAAACACCAGTAAATTAAAATGTCAAACCCGTTAATCAAATTTATTAAACTTTCTATAGAATGATGATATAGTCCAGAGAAACATCAACTTTTTCCTACATATATTCATTCTATTTATATGTGGGAGAACAACCACTTAAAAATTTTTGAAACGTTTTATGCAACAAATTGTTGATTAAGCACAATTATAACAGCCTGCAAAAACCAATGCCATGAAAACTCACAATTAATTTTATTTTTATAAAACTTTTTTCTTTTTCAAAAAATCAAATTTAGGACAAACCTGAGGTGATTTTTCAGCTGCGGATTTTAGATCACCCACAGCTCCCTCCCATTCCTCGGTCAGAAGTTTGGCTTCCCCCCTCTGTAAGACATAGTCTCCAGTTAAAGAAGGTATATGCAATCAAATAAAGCTTTAAGCACTTTAGTCTCATCTTGTTACAAAATACAGTTATCAAATATAATCATGAACAGACAATTCTATGAACATTCATAATGTTTTTGGAGAAATATTAGGAAAAAAAGAAACAAAAGAAAACCTGAACCAAAGCTTCAACAAGCTCCCCATCAATGTTAAGTGCTTCAGTGCAACTATTTACAGCATCCTTTCCCCTGCCAAGCTTCACCAATACCTTACACAAACCAAGATAAAGGTGGACATTGTGTGCAACGTGGTTAGGATCCAATGCAATGGCTCCTCTGTAGTCCTCCACTGCCAGACGGAGCTTACCCTTATTTTCATTATCTTCTGCCTGCATAAAAGCTTCCAGTATTAAATACACAATCAAGATGGACCAAATTATATGGTAACATGGGATAGCATCGTTATGCTCCAAAAAAAGCTTCACGAGATTTTACACTTTTAGTCTTCTTGAGTAAATTCTTCAATCCAAAATATGCTTTCTTCAATTCACTATGCTCTGGATCCAGGCGGAGACCTTTTTGGAAATGCCTGAGAACAATATTGAAAACGTTACACGTTTATGATATCTTGCAAGGTATTTAGAAGATGTGTTGTTGGGTTGATTTATTTGCTTCTTTGCTCTTTAATTGACAAAGCATGTTATTGTTGAACAAACCTTAAAGCAACATCATGATCAGCTAAATAATAGTAAGCACGACCGCGTAGAAGCAACGCCTCTAAATTATTCTCGTCTTCTTTGAGCATAAAACCTGTCTCAGAGATAACAGCTGAATAATCTTTAGCAGCTAACAATAACTTGAACTTGAGGAGTTTGGCCTGCAACAAAGAAACAAACAATGCATCGAGCGAGTTCAACTTATTGAAGCCAGAGTCTAATAAATAACTTTAAAATAAAAACGAAATAAATGGATAACAGTATTCAAATAAATGATGATGATCATTATGATATAATGAATACCTTTGAACATGCAGGAGAAAAAACAAGCACAACTTTATCAATATAATCCAACGATTTTGTAAAGTCGCCTGAATCAAAGAGATTAGCAGCTGTATCCAGAGCACTCTGAGCCTGAAACAATTGAGAAAGCTCCTTCTTTGCAGCTGAATTTTTAGGTTTCATCTCCAGAAACTTTTTGTAGTTTTTCTCTGAATCCTCATATCTACAATAGCCAAAAATCACCTGAATCATATAATATTCCAATCAGATATAAATGAAATGGAGTGGAGTTCAACACAAATAACATTCCACAAGCACGCAATAGAGATTGCTGTACTATAGAGTGGAAGGAAATGCCAAAATCAACCACAAAAGCAAAAATTAGAGGAGAAGATATATAACAGAGCTATGAGTGGGAGAAAGGACCACAACAAATAGCGTAGTACATCCATTGGCCATGGTTAAGTAGAAAAAAACAACTCGAAAATCAGTACCACAAAACACATGGCTAGTAAAATTGTCCAATCAATTTTGCAATGATATAATAAATACTGAAAGTGCAACCAAAAGATGAAACGCACACTTCCATATAAGCTTACTTTGGGAGCATTGAGGAAGTGTACTTCAAACATGCAATCTGGGTTCCTTATTAATAAATTAATAATGTTTGTCATAGGGGGAGAACAAACATAAAGTCCACCAAGTTTGACAATTTAAATGGCTTTCAGTTGCTAAGGTTAGAAGGACAAGCAGGTGGCTTTTAAACTAAAACAATTATGCCCTTTCCTTCTGATTTAGAAACAGAATCATCAACAACATCTTCATGCACGGTGTATACGATATTTGAATATTTCTAGTCTTGATACATCTAAAATAACAACTCTCAATATCAAATGACTAAAGAATCATAGAACTTAAAAAGAAAAATTAATAAATAAACAATATATATATATATATATATATATATATATATGAACTTCAAGTTTTTGTGAAAAGCAAAATATTTCTCCTTGATTTTCAGGGACTTGAAAGAACCTGCACAACTGACGGAGAATAGATGCTCGATGCCAATATGCTTCTGAAAGTGCTGGATCTGCCTCTATAGCAGCATTAAGATCATCAAGTGCCTCACTATAACGTTTCACCTTTATACTTTGTGAAACTCTCTCAAACAATTCAGCGGTATCACCAGGTTTTCCATCTGTACATGCAAAATATAAAAAAGCTCATCAAGTTCCAACGAAACTAAATAAAGACAAAAGTCCATAAACTCGTTGACATGCTAACAAAAATTCAGTGGTGCCACTTTAATCCCATAGATAACACAACCCATATAAGTTGCAACAGAATCCACCAAAAAGACAAAAGAGAAATGAGTAATAAAATTTTAATAATATCAATTAATAACCTGCCCAAGTAAAGGCATAAGAGATTTCTAGTCCCCCATAAGGGGCAATTGTGGGTGTATGTCTTACACTAAAAAAAAAAAAAAAAGAACCATAAAAGATTTACGAAAGAATAATTAGGGATGGCAATTGTGCCCAACTCAGCAGGTTTCCAGTTTCCACCCACCCCTAATGGGACGGGGATGGGATGCTATAAAACAGGGTAGAGGCAGGTTTGCGTATTTAAAGTAAAACCCGAACCGGATTAAGGTGAGGTCAGGACTCCAGAATAGGCTCTTCTCTAGTGACGCCATAGTCAGCATCTGGTCAAGGCGACATCCGGTCATGAGCTCAAATCTCTAACTCCAAAAGTATCATTGTTATCAAAAGTCTCTCCCAAGAAGATGCCAGCAATTTGGTACTAGGAAGCAAATCTCACTCTCTCTATATCTATATATACACATCTCTTTGGTTTTCAACTTTAGGACAAACAACCAAGATTTGTTTGATTTTTGTGTTAACTACTGTAGAGAAACAGTACAATATGGGGTGGGAATGGGGTTATTGCCGCAATTGATAAACAGGGATGGGAAGACGAGTTGAAACCTGTCCCCAATTCAGGACGGGGTATTAGCAAACGGGATAGAGCCCCATTGCCATCCCTAAGCATGATAGTTGACATCTATGAGATGAATATATGTCTTCCACAACAAATTCCCAATTTCCTGTCCCATTAATATAAATCTCATTTAGGAAAATAATAATAATATCAATCCCGTTTTGTATATAAAGTGAGTTCTTTTATGTAGAAAAAAGAGACCATAGGTGTTGGCATCGGCAACATAAGAATTTTATACTGCCAAGACTAAAGCACTGTTTCTTCTTTTTCTTTTCCTTTACCCTCTTCATTTTCTTTTTACCATTTACACTTGGACCCAGAAACTACTCAAGCATACAACAATGCCCTACATAAAGCACTAAAAAATGCTATCAATTTTCTTCAGGCGCTTATCTTTATGTAATTGCAGTACACAAATCGCAGTTATATAATAGCCACACTCACATTGGGCACTTCAATGAACATCCTAAAGTCAAAAAAAAAAAAAAGAAGAACAAATCTCAGGAATGCACTAACAAAAACTGGTTTTATATCTTTTCAAAATGTTCCAAATTAGATTGGCTGAAGTTGACCTTCTCAATAGCTCATATACATCCACATAAAAGATATTACAAGAATATAATTAGGCAAAAGAAAAAGAACAAAATTGCATCAGAGATTGTCTCTCTTTTTCAAGAATCGGGAAAGAATTACGAGAAAACATAATCAGACATGAAACTATGCAAGAGTAAAAAAGAAAATATTCATCAGTTATGGACTTCCGAAGTTTTCTACAGGCTCTATGCTTCAAGAATCAATAACCATAAAATTTGACAAGAAGAAAACATCAGAGTCCACACCCAGATCGAAAGATATAAATTTCATTTAAATACATACATTTAAGCACATATATGATGCATATATAAACCAAGAATTATGAGTGAAAACAATACGAAGAGTAAGAGCAATAGAAAACAACAGATCGAAGTACGCATTATTACCTAGGGCAGAGACGAGTGGTTGGAGGAGAAGGAATTGGCAGGCGAAGACGAAATGGAGAATGAATACGGTGAAAACGAGTCCCCTCCAAGCTACCAAATCCATGGCCGGCGCAAAACCTAGAAGATTCACCATTTGTCTCTTCGTCGATTATATATACGTTTGTGCACAGAACAGGTTTTATAGATGACTAAAATGGGGAAGAAATTAAAGGGCCAAAAGCATAGCAGAGAGTTTGAAGAAGACGATGATGTGTGTGACGAGTTTGTTCCGAGTTTTAACCCAACACGGTTCTCTACTCTTTCCGTTCAAGGAAGAGGGTATAAGGATGCACATGTCATTCCACGTTACAAAAACCTATCATTGTGCTACACGTGTTGATATGACTCTAGGTTTCCCGCAGCAAATCCTATGGAGCATTGCCACGTGGAAACTGAATTTCTTTTCATTGTTTTCGCTCATTCCTTGCATTGCCACGTGGAAATAAATTATTAGAGGGTGATGTGATTCAAAAGTTCAATTAAAATTCTCCAATTGAAAAATTAAATTTATAAGAGTTTTAATAGAGGATACTTCAAAGAAATGTAAATATAAAATTTAATAAATATCCTCAGAATCCTCTAATAATTTTTCAAGAAAATAATTATTTTTATTTTGTCTAGTAAACGAATCAGCACGCCCGGACTTGTACCACTGTTTGTATAATTTTAATTAATGGTCTAGTGATTACATGAAATTAAATAAAATAAACTATAATGACAATTTAGTAAACAACATAGTAAATAAACACTGAAAAAATTAATATTTTGATTTTATTAAGAAGTTAAGAGTAATGTCAATCGGCAAATGAATATTACTAAAGAATGTAGCTTGGGTGAGTAGAAAATAACATATTTGTAAGATGTCAAAATTCAAAAATGTGGGATGGATAAGAAGCAAGTGTGACAAAATGCAAAATAATAAAATTCAAAAATACACATATTTATTGAACAATATTGAAAATAAGTTTGAAAATATTAGGTTAATTTAATGATCTTAATGCTCCGTTTGATGGAAGGGAAAAAATTGGATGGAAGAAAAGACGGAAAGGATGAGATATAGGTAATAGATTTTGTCCGATTGGATGAAAGAAAAAAGAAGAAGATGACAACCTATTTTATTCGTTACGAGAGGAGAGAAGACATAACTTCAAATTATTTTTATCATTATACCAATCCCTATTTTTACTTCTCATTTAACCATTTATTATGTTATAAGTACGATTAATTTGCTCTAATTTGTTGTTAGAAACATATTTCATCATAAATATATATATATAGGCCACTTGCGTTGAAAAAAAAAAAAAAAAGAACAGTATTCGTTAATGAATACAAATCATAGAATGTCAATTACAAATTATTAAGAAAAAGATAAATTGAAATGATTATTGTAAGTTTTAATAATTCTATGCTCTATTAAAACGATTCTTGTAAATTAAGAAGGGGGGAAGGAATCCAGAGCAAAGGATAAGGTTAAGATGATTCTATACTATATTTGTCTTCAAAGGATAAGGTTAAGATGATTCTATACTATATTTGTCTTCAAGTGTAGGAGAAATAGCTTGTGTAAAAGCTACAATTGTTTGGGAACGTCCTTATAAATTACTCCCTCCGCCTCATAATAATTGTTCATCTTTCTTTTTGGAGTGTTTCAAAATATTTGTTCATTTACCAAATTTAAACAACATATTTCATATCTTTCCATAAAATACTCTTAAAATTTTAAAAAATTTCAAACTTGATTATATATATATATTTAAATTTGAAAGGATAACTTTGTAATTTTCAAAGGTGACAATGCAATAATTACATATCCTCTTAAAAAGTTCTACTTCCCAAAAGAGACATCTATTATGAAAGAGAGGGAGTAGGTTTTTGATTCATTCCTTGACAGCCACTTTAAAAAGAGAAGAATTGAATCAAAAATGTAATGCTCCAATTGAAACGTCCTTACCGAAATACGTTGGCAACTACTTTGATTCATTCCTTGGAAACGTTCTTACCGGTCCAATTGAAGTAATTGATCCAATCCTCTCCGACTCATATATATATATATATATATATATATATATATATATATATATATATATATATAGCTCACGTGAATCAAATCAGTTTATAAATACTGTCATTTATAAATTGATCATATTTATATGTGGATCTATGTATATGCATAGAGTGATAGCAAGTGAGAGTTTGTTACATGCGTGAGAGAGAGAGATAAGTTGACAGAGCCGGAGTTCTTATTGATAGGGTTTGCGATTGTATAGTTTATTAATATTTGTGAAGCATAATTTTGTAATTTAACTTTTTTATAATAGCTTCACTTGTTTTCTCTCATATCTTCCGCCCAAATTTTGACAGATGAATATGGAGGAGGAATATTTTCCTTTCCCTATGTGTCTCTTCCATACCGAACAAAGGAACTTTGTTTCTTCTCTCTTATTTTCCTTCCACCCTCCTTCTTTCCTGCCCAACATTGCATAAAACTAATGTTATCTCTAATGATATAACCTCTTTTATTTCGGAAGGAAAGTGAGAGTTTTGATATGTCTTGAGAGCGGACTAGTGGGCCATAATATTAGTGTAGCCCAAACAGAAAATAAGGTGGATAGACCCAAACTTTCAAAGCCATACCGTTATCTTAGGCTCTTAGCCCATTGAGAGTTCAAGATTTAAGTCATATCTGAGAGGAGTAAAAGATGTTTTCGATTCATTTTCCAAGGTTCTGAGCAAAATTAGCTCAAATTTGAACAGTCAAAAGCAGTGCATCACAAATTAATTCAAATTCAAGAAAAAGAAAATAAATATAAAAATAACGCCTTGGCCCAACAATCTGTCGCACTTGAAAACAATTTTAGGGCCGTCCGAAATCTGCAACTATGCATTTATTTGTGAAATCATATATAAAAATATTACCATATTGTAATTGAAAAATTATTTCAATTAGATAAACTAAACACTTATACTTTATAATTTGTAAAATTCATTATTATTATTATTATTATTATATAGGTCCTCAAAATTTGAGATTATTTTATTAGAATGAAAAAGCAACTTGAAAATATATAGATAATCTTGCCTATTCTTAAGGTTGGGAATTCTAGTTTAACGTGGACTTGAGGTTATTTATTTTATGCGAAAGTTTTTTTTAGTATTCCAATTTTTTAATAAAAAGATCACTTAATGTGTGAATTAATTGCTCTATTTTAGTAAAAAGGTCAAGTAAAAAGTAGTTTTTATTAATATTTTAATCAGGATATTTCCAATCTTGCAGCCAAAAGTATAAGTCAAATCCTGATCTCTGAGTGGAGTATGAAGAATCTGATGAAGTCAAAAAGAAGATTATAGAAAATGGAAAGGGCTGGGCACATCATCTCAAAACATTGAAAGCTAAAAGCAAGCCCACTTTTATTAGTATATATGGAAATTAAAAATTAGTCTAAAAATTATCAACTTTGAAACCAGACTATCCAGAAAATGATCAGAAAAACCCAAGTTAATGATAATTTATTAAAATGCAATGTTTTTTTAATTTACTCAAACGCGATCAGGACTCTGATTCCTTATCACCATCATAATTCTTACTTTTATCCCATACATACAAATGAAACGGTCCCTTTTTTTTGCTTAAAAAAAAAAGAAAAGAAAAAACAAGACCAAGCAATATTCTAAAGTCCTTGGTGCAACTAATTAGCATTGAAAACCCGAAGTCAAGGAATGGTAATCAAAGCTAAAATCATTAAACTAGGTTTGGTTGGAATTAAATTATTAATAATAATAATTATTATGATATATTATTGTAGGGTAGTGGGCCTGTCTGATATCTAGACTCTGATCCAAGTCTCAAAAAGCTTGGTGGTCGTACCAAGTACCCAAAAAAAGATGCCTCTCTCATCAAAAAGCCTTTTAAGCGCTGTGTTATTGGTGGTATCTCTATGTTTGTGCATTTTAGGACTACTCCTTGAATCCTATTACAACACTATTTGAACCATTTTAGGTTTCACTTTCGGAGAATTCCATTCCATTTAATCTTCCCTAAAGATAGGGCACCCAAGTCCTATAAAGTTAAACCTGTCTGGTACACTGTGCCCTACAAGTAGAGGGTTCTTATATATATATATATATATATATATATATATATAAATTATATATATGTTTCTTATAAGGATTTACTATGATCGATGTGGAAAAGTAGTAATTAGAAACACATTCCATACAGTTTCCGAACATCTTTATTGAAACATAAAAAAAATTAATAATAATAATCCCCTCAATTCCAAGACAGTGGTTCATCCTCTTTTATCTGAAAAAGGTGAAGTAACTTCGAAATTAAAAGTCAATGGCTAAATTTACGGGAAAAAAAGGTCAATGACTAGTTAACAAATTCACGGCGAAACTTAGAATTGGATTAAATGATATTTAATATTTTTGTTCATTGAAACCCACATAGAATTATGTTGAGAATGAACTTAAGTAGAAAATTGGTAATTTTAAATTTTTTTGTTTAATTTGTACTATTAATCTACTATTTTTTATGTTACCTAAAATTTAAAAATAATGAGAATTGTATACCAATAAAGATGAGATGATTATGAGGCAAACCCAACCCAGTACACCATGTACTTCATTACATTCCTTGCGCATGGATTCTTGTTCTTTTTTGGATTGAATTGCGGGATACTCAATTTTTTATAGATCGTATCAGAACAGATTCAATCTTTAATAAGTATGTCAATGGGACTGATTTTGTAACGGTATATCCTCTCTTGTCCCCGTAATCATTTTAAACCACATAAACAGGGAACATTTCCATTCCATCCCGCGGGACAAATTGCAATCCCTAATCCTTACATTATTAGGATGGATGGGACGAGGAGGCAGGTCGACCAACCGTGCAAGTTTGGGTGGAAGAGAATTTCATGAATTTTTTTATCGAATTGCGAAGAACAGAACCTGTAAAAATATGTTCAAATTTGAAAAAAATTTATTTTTTGGGAAGGAAGATTAAATTTCTAGATTGTGTATAAAAAAAGTCTTTGTTTAGTTCAACAATAAAAATTAATAATTGATGATATAAAATAAATAAATAAAAAAATGTATTTTCTCCGTCCCATACTAACTCTTTATTTTTCAACCTTGTTCCTTAATTTGACCTCTTTTCTTATCATTTTCTTCCTTTATTAAGAAAAAATACATGATTATAACACATATGTCATAAACAGTGTGCAACAGTGCTACCTAGATTCTTGCTAGTATAATAGTATCAAACACTTTATAGACCTAATCAACGGCCTACAACGACTAAGCAGTAACTAGTAATCAAATTATAAATAAAGTAACCCACCAACGTTGACAAGATCGCCGGATTATTTTGACGGACGGTCAACGGATCGATCTCGTAGTTTTCTGTGCTTTGGTTAAAAAGAAAAATACTAGACTTATTACCTACGTACGTACACTCACTGTAAAGATAAGAAAGAGTGAGAGAGACCAAGCACAGAGCAGAGACACAAATATAAACAAACAAACAACAACATGCACGATTCCCAGTCACTTCTTGTTCAGTCCACCTCCAACATCCACTGGACCCCACACACTCTTTCTCTCTCTCTCCAACCCTCATTATCAACCTCTCCCATTTACCATTTTACCCCTAATTTCATCACACAAAACAGTGATCACCGCATGAGAGTAAACAGTGGCCTATAATGTACTCCTTGCTGCACTGGACTGAATCATCACAACATTGACAATGAGTGTATGTCACACTTCGTACAAGTAAAATTCCACCTCTCGAACCCTATTCAAAGGTTTGAAGTACAGATAAACTTCAAATCCGAACACATTTGTATATTGGTGTTCACAAAGGAGTCTGGTTGCTGGTGAAATGGCTCAAACCCATGGCCGAATTCATTGAAGCAAACTTTGCTAGCTCTTCACCTCCCATGCCCAAGAAGTCCCTAGTTAGACCATGTTTGGCCCCAATATTCGAACCACCTGGATGCAACTTTCCTGGGACTACGGATTCGGTTTGTGTTAAACTAGTTTGCATCATAATTTGATGATGATGATGATCAAGATTGCTTGATGTAGTGCTTGTTAATGAGCTCAAATTTGAACTACCCATTATTGAGTCGCTGAAAGGTACAAGTCCTCCCGCCCTTGTTGTTGGGACGTTCTCCGGCTGTCTATGAAAAATGTGGTTCAATTCACTTCTGTTCCGAGCATTGAAACTTGATGCATTGGAGGAAGAAGAAGAGTTCATCACTTCATGTAGAGTACTCATGTTGCCCAAAAATGGTGATGGGCTGCTTCGAGTTGAACCAATCTGAGCTGCCTTCTGCAAGAGTGCTGTGGCCGACATGGATGATGTTGAATCGGATTGATGGTTGTGAATGTTTTGATTGCCAGAGTACAAAGGAGATAGGGTTTCTACCATATTTCCTTTGTTGAGCAATCCAGCTTCATCTTTTCGTGCTTGAAGCAATGGAGATAAGGAGAGATTTGGAGATGTTGTTGATAGAGGGAAATTCTTGTTGAACAACTGATTAGAAATGTTGGCAAAATTGGCCATTGAGGATGAGCCAAACACATTGCTGGATTCCATTTGCACCATATGATCAGGAAAACCGGTTGAGGTAGAGCCCGACGACACGTAGGGATTCGAATTAGGTGCCATTTCAATGGGGTTAAGCTGAGAATTTGATTGATTAAGCCACAATGATAATATGGGCTTCTGTTGCTCACCACTTAGAGTGTTCCCACAAGCCATAACTCCGAAATCGGGTCGAAAATTTGTGCCAAATTGGGAAATTCCAGAATGGCAAGTTAATCCATGTGACAAATCAGATTGAGGGTTTATCATAGTCTCATTCATAACATCATTCTTGAAGTTCAAATTGGTTGCTGCTACTGAACTAAATCTAGCACTCTCTTCAGCTAAGGCATCACAGAAAGCTCTGTGGGTAATAAAACTATCCTTTCTGTACAAATTAATAAAACCCCACTTCAGAATTACACCAATATATATAGATATATACCTATATAGGAGCAATTATTACCTATTCATTTGCATGCATTAATTACTCAAATTAACCAAAGGAAAAAAAAAAAAAAAAAAACCATGAAAGCTTAATTCTACGTGAGCATTTATAAGAACATAAATTCCTATATAGCAGAATTAAATGATACCTGGAAAATAGAGTGCCACAGTCACATTTGTACTCTCTAGTCCCACAAGTCTTGGAATGAGCTTTCCAGTCAGATTGAACTGCGTATTTCTTGGAGCACTTCTCACACTTCCACTTCTTCTCGCCATGCTTTCTGCTAAAATGCTTCTTGATTCCGGTGAGGTCACCGAGAGCCCGAGAAGGGTCGTGGTGAACGCACGTCTTCTCCGGGCATATGTACACCTTCTTCTTCACCTCCTTGTTAGTCCTTTGCTTCAGCTTCCACGGAAGGTTGTGACCTCGTCTGTGAAGCTGCAAGTTCTGGTCTCTTTGGAATCCTTTGTTGCAGATTTCACAGATAAATCGGTTCGTCGCCATTAGAGTTTTCGGTGACAGAGCAATCACCTCTGCATCTGGATCTGTTACACCATATAACAAAAATAAATAAATGAATTAAATTCAAAATAATTAAGGAACTATATATATGTGTGTGTGCGTGTGTGTACATAAACATATATATATATATATATATATATAGATAGATACATATTTATAGCTATGGAGTTGGAAGATAAATTAAAGATTTCTTGCCTGGTGTTCCTGGCTGGTTTCTCTTCTTTTTGAGAGCTGAATTTGTGGTGGGTTTAGGGTTAGGGTTTGGAGGATCAGGTTCATGATGAGGAAAGCCTTTGATGGAAGATGGAATTGAAAACATGTCACCAGACATCATTTGCCTATGATCAAATCAGAAAGTACTTGGTTGTAGATGAAGATTTTACTTAGAAAACAACAGTATAGTACAAAGAAGAGGAAAAGAAGCGAGAGAGTTCTCCGAACACAAACAGAAAAATCTTGGTATTATTCAGATCTCAAGCATGGGATTATGCCAAAAGGAACAAGAAAACCCCAAACATATTTGAAACATAAATCCCGGAAAAACAAAAGAATAGTCTTAAGATTCGGACTCTTCTTACAGAGATCTGGTTTAGCTTGTTTGGTTTCAAAGGAAAACACCAAAAACCATGAAAACTAAAGAGAATATTTCATCTCTTTTTCTAACCACTCTCTCTCACTCACTCTCTCTCTCTTACAAGTTTACTCTTCCACGTCCGTCCACTCTCCTTTATCCTCACCCTTATTTTCAAAGTCGGTCAGCCATAGATTTAGCTGGGCCACCCCCTCTCTAAAACTCTCTCCCTCTCTCTAAAACTCTCTCTCTCTCTCTCTCTCTAAAACTGTGCAGAATTGTACTATGCATTGGCAGTATGCTGCTTGTAACCAGAATGTGTAGAGTTGTGTGTCATGTGTAGTTTTCGAGCTCAAACTTCTATCAAGGCCAAGGATAATTAAAAACAAATGAATTGCCAAAGAAAAATACTATATTATATACGGAGTATACAGCTTAACTTTTAACCAAATATATATATATATATATACGTGTTAAAATATATATATATATATATATATATATATATATATATTATATTTGTGTGTGTGTGAGAGAGAGAGAGATACACTCAATACTATCATGCATGAGATTTATGCTCAGAAAATGTTTCACTGTTCAAATGAAAACGATATAAAAAAATAAAAAAAAATCTATTATGTATGTTTACCCTTTTATCTAACTACATTAATCCTATAAATGGAAGGAGTAGTCCTAAATTAATTAAGATTTTCCGGGCTACATTTATTTTCTATTGGTGGAGCACAACATTGTCAGTACTTGGAGCAAATCATCCATCAATTTCTCCAAATATTGAGGTCTTTTCGTCATTGAATTTCAATTTTCATACTTACCAAGAAAAAAATAAATAAATTTTCATTGTTTATCATGAAATATTTTTAATATTAGATGGTATCAATTTTTTTTTTTTTTTTTTTTTTTTTTTTTTTTATATACGTTGCACTTATTATTATTCAATTTTGAAATTTTAGGTAAGAAATTGACAAGTGAATTAAGTGTCATACTGTGTTGTATGAGTTTCAAATCGTACATGTGAAAATTGTGTACCATTAGATGCAAAAAGCACGTCAATTGAATTAAAATTTTCATGAATAATGTGGTCCACTTGCAAGTTGCAACTAATCTAACAATATAGCATACAGGTGCTTAAAAATATTCGGTCTAATTTATCCAAGTATAAACGAACCTTAATTTCTTTGTAATTATATACTTCAATAAAAAAAATTATTGATTCTTTTAGGATATAATATATATTGTAGTAATATATATAGTTAAAAAAAGAAGTATCCTACTAGAAAGTGTATAGGACGTAAAAAGGTAAATGATGGAAGTGCTAGAGACTACTGACTTTGTGATGAGGGGTTATTGAAACTAAAAAGGCCCAAAAAAGTTACTTACCTTTATTGACCTTCATCAGGTATTAAATGATTACAACATACATTACTGTAAAATCAAATAAAAATAAATTTGGACCCAATTTTAGCATGCAGAGGAGGGCAGTGGCTAGCAGGAGGCCATGGGAAGAGAGAGAGAGAGAGAGAGAGAACTTTTTCCGATGAGCTACTAGTACTTGTTTATACAAACTCCGTCCGTGATACTCACCTGTCTCACGCTTGTGGGACCCGCTCATTTGGACTGTCATTCTGCACCATCCCAAAAAGTATGTGTGTGCATGTGGCTCTGCTCTCGTATATACTTTTTCTCTATTCTCCTGAACTTGACAATGATTTTATATATTCATATACACAAATATGTTCATGACATATATAGATCAATCAGTGTTTGATGTAATGCTTCATTGAGTAAGGGCAAGCGACATAGATTTTGATATAAATTTTAATTTTAATTTTTTATTTTATGTTGTTTTTTCATCATACACACTACCGCAATAACATTCTTCTCATATATTGATATAATTTATGATATGCGAATTTACAGCATGTATATATATATAAACAGGCTCCTTTCATTTATTATCTCAAATATCATTGAATAATGAATCTCATAATAAAATTAGTAAGGGACTGTTTGATAAACGTTTTGTTTTTGTTTTTTTTTTTAACCTGAAATAAATTAAGTGTTTTGTTGTATGGTGTTTTGAATATATAGTAATTGAAAGCGTATTTGGTAACGTGTATTTGTTACAAAAAAAATTTGGTAGTAAAAAAATAAAAACATGTTTAGTAAAGAAATGTTGCTAAGTAAAGAAATTAATATAATAACTAGTTTAAAAAGGTCATATAATAGTTTTTCATTTTTTTGTTACTGTTCATTGCTACAATTCTATTTTTATAATGCGAAAATACGTAAAAACATTAAATTGGTGTTTCAATTTTTAGCTATTATTTAGAAAAACATTTCGACGCGGTATAAAACATAACATTTTTTTATCACACACTTTTTTTTTTACTATTCACAAAAGCAAAAACACCAAAACCAAAGTGAAACTTGTTTTGTAGATTATATGACTAGTACTGCTTTTTGTACTCATTACAAAAATCTATCATGTTTCAATTTTAAGTGATCAGAGAGGATAAAGAAAATCCTTTTATAACTTTATGCATGAAAACATTCTAGATTTAATTACTGTATTATGCAACCCATTTAATCTTAATTTAATAAATTAATACAAACATTAATTTGCTGACATTAAATTTAGTAGTAATTAGGTTTTTCTAATTAAGATGGGAACAAATATATATAGTGAAGATGTATTTGAGTTTGGTTTAATTTTAGATTTGCGCTTTTGGTTTCAAACATAATCCGTATAATTTCATGCTAAAATTAGTTGGAACTTGGAATGTCTGTGTTGGATGTTATCATGTGACATCAAACTTTCACAGTTAATTATGACAAAAAGAGTCACACACACACACATAGAGTAAAGAACCCCATTTTGAAATTCTTAATTTTTAGGAGTATCAATGCAGAGAGGTAAGGTTTAATTTATTCCCTAAATTTATTCCAAAACATACACTGAACCAACTTGAAAAATAAAATCAAGATACTGCTAGTCTATTATCGCCACGTGAGTCCCTAATTCTTGAAATAAAAAAAGCGTTCCTCTATATATATATATATATATGTAAGTGGTTGATCAATTAAATACTTCATATACCATGTGCCTGTCAAATATTATAATCTCTCACTTTAAGCTTGTACATTTTTGTTTGTTAGGACTTTAAGCATGTACTTTGTGATTCATAAATTGTTAAAATACCATATGTTATATAACATATATTATAAGCAGGTCATTTCTGATATATTTTCTTGCAGGTCATTTCTGATATATTTTCTTGCTGATACTGTGATGATGGTCGGTTATGAAAGCTACTCTCAAGCTAACACTCTCGATATTCAAATAATAAATGGAATGCATTATTGTTGTGAAATGACCAAAGTAACTACGTGTGTTTGAAATTCATTAATTGTTCTATAAGTAAATATAGTCGTGATCAAAACCCTTTTCATGATTTACCTTACCAATATCCATGGTAGAATAATCTACTTCATTCATTTTAAATTCCAAACCCTCCCCATTCATCTATTAAAAATTTAACCAATACACAGAGAGTTATGTGGAGTCAATATTGGACCTGAACTGAATCTGTGCCTGTGGCTTGATATGTCAATCATAACTTGATATGAAAATAAATATGTCAACTTTATTTGAATTTTTAATTACTTAATTGATAAATATCATGTAATCTTAAATCATATAATAATTTTTGCGTGCGTGTGAAGGGTACGTCTTAATCTGAGCTGACTTTGGTGGTCCTACTCCTTACTCCTACCTCTCATGGCCTCATATAATTTTAAGCAATAAAATAAGAACAATTATATGTACACAAAAAAGAATATATACAGAATTCAACTGCTTTTGGCTCCATGCCCTCGGATCTTCCTACCAAATGACCTATTCTTTTTTGCCTCCCATACCCCACTATTCTGTTTCCTAAGCAGTGCTCTTCTATATATATATATATATATATATATATATATATATATGTATGTATGTATGTATGTATATGTATATGTATATGTATCAATTAAAACCCTAACATCAAGGGAAGAAGGGGGAATAGGGAATAGAATGAGTTTTATTGTGTCCGACCACATAGGACATCACTTGCACCCATCCGTTTGCATGGATTCTCCCATCTCTTCCCAATGCACGTAAATACCCATACCTTTCTTTATTACTATCTTTGTGCCCTATATATATATAACTCACAAGCTAGATTAGTTTATAAGATTAAAGAAAAAACTCCATAAAACGCGTTATAGTGTTACATTTTCAAGGTACCTATCCATCAATATATATATAGTATTAGTACCCTATAAATTATTAAAAACAAATGAAGTAGCCGTGGATGATGGTGCCCATTCTTTAACATGTGATGAAGAATCAAATTCCATGTATCAATACGAGTAGCAGCATACTAGCATTTGATTGATCAAGCCATACAAGCCTTTGAGACCGTGGTCCAAAATTTGGGGGTATAAATTTGATTAATTGGTCAATTATATATATATATACATATATAGACACACACAAAACATTCGCGGAGTTCATGAAGGCTTTGATTTTATTAGATTAGATTTACAATTGATATAGATAAGAAGAGCACAAGTTGGAGGCTTGAAACAATTCCAATATTTGGGACTGTCACCACATGGGCCTGTCTCTGTGAGATGGTATCCAATGTTACTCTATGCCACGAGAATCAGAGGGAGATATTTTGGTTTAGTCCATTTTGAAAACCCTACACAACACGTTTAAGTTGCCCCTTTCACCATCACACACATTACACACACATATATGTGGCTGTGTTTATTTTTATTTATGCTAAGCGATATTTGCACCTCACAATTGTACTCCATTCTTAAAGAATATGACACTTCTATCTCTAATTTTATAAATAAATAATTATATTTTTTCAAATACCACAATTGTCCTTTTGATCAGTTATAGAAATATATTTTTCTCTTACACTTTATTCTCAATTTAACGTTTTGAGTCATTTACAGCATCTCGCAATTAAATCTTTATTTTGTATTTATTATTTGTTTTCTTCCATTTAGGATTTAATATTGATCTTTGTATGAGACAATGAAATATTAGCACAGAAAGCATGTAAAAACTATCAAAACTC